CAGAGAGGCCTGCACAAGCTGCACCATTTCCCCAGTCACTTGCTCAGCCCTGACATTCTGGGGATGGGATCCAATAGCCTTTCTTCAGTCCACACCCCTTACATGATTGCTTTAAAACAAACAACAACAACAACAAAAAAACCCCAAAAACAAAAAACCCCAATGATTACAACATAAAAGACTAAATATGGACAATAATATGGTGGAGTACTAGGGAGTTAACAATGACAGTTCAGCATCTGGCTGTTGTGGCTCAGTGGATTGAGTGATGGCCTGTGAACCAAAAGGGTGCCATTTCGATTCCCAGTCAGGGCACATGCCTGGGTTGTGGGTCAGGTCCCCAGTTGGGGGCAGGCGAGAGGCACCAGATTGATGTATCTCTCACATTGATGTTTCTCTCCCTCCCTCCTTCCTCCTCTCTCTGAAAATAAAATATTTAAAAAATATAAAATAACAGTTCACAAAGTTTTGAAGAGCATCAGGATATGTTTGCAATATAACATTAGGGGGAAACTGCATAGGTAGCATCATCTCAACTATATACATTTAAAAGACTAGGAGAGAAAAAAGTGGTAACTTCTGAGTAGTGCAATTACAGGTTATTTTTGTTTTCTCCTTTACTTGTATATTTTACAATAAGCTGTAAAAAAATCTGGAAGAATAAAAGGGACATTTCTTTGATTTGCCACCTGCTCGTAAATTCTAGCAATGCCACCGTTAGGTTGACTTTAGTGACTGACTCTCGTATCTCATCACCTGAACTTCCTTCACAAAAGTTCTCCCTTTTTTCCTTTTAGCCTGAGTTTTTTCATTCTTTTCTCATTTTGTAATCCCTTTTCTATTTTTTAAATTTTAAAATATATTTTATTGATTATGCTATTACAGTTGTCCCATCCCCTCCCCCATTCCCCTCTGCCCTGTGCACCCCTCCCGTCCACATTCCCCCCCCCTTTAGTTCCCGTCCATGGGTCATATATATAAGTTCTTTGGCTTCTCCATTTCCTATACTATTCTTAACCTCCCCCTGTCTATTTTCCACCTACCATTTGTGATACTTATTCTCTGTACCTTTTCCCCCTCTCTCCCCATCCACTCCCCAGCTGATAACCCTCCATGTGATCTCCATTTCTGTGATTCTATTCCTGTTCTAGTTGTTTGGTTTGTTTTTGTTTTTGTTTTAGGTTCAGTTGTTAATAACTGTGAGTTTGTTGTCATTTTATTGTTCATAGTTTTGATCTTCTTTTTCTTAGATAAGTCCCTTTAACATTTCATATAATAAGGGCTTGGTGATGATGAACTCCTTTTACTTGACCTTATCTGGGAAGCTCTTTATCTGCCCTTCATTCTAAATGATAGCTTTGCTGGATAGAGTAATCTTGGATGTAGGTCCTTGCTTTTCTTGACTTGGAATACTTCTTTCCAGCCCCTTCTTGCCTGCAAGATTTCTTTTGAGAAATCAGCTGATAGTCCTATGGGAACTCCTCTGTAGGTAACTGTTTCTTTTTGTCTTGCTGCTTTTAAGGTTCTCTCCTTCTCTTTAATCTTGGGTAATGTAATTATGATGTGCCTTGGTATGTTCCACCTTGGGTCCAACTTCTTTGGGACTCTCTGAGCTTCCTACACTTGCATGTCTAGTTCCTTTGCCAAATTGGGAAGTTTTCCTTCATTATTTGTTCAAATAAGTTTTCAATTTCTTACTCTTCCTCTTCTCCTTCTGGCACCCCCACAATTCAGATGTTGGAATGTTTAAAGTTGTCCCAGAGGTTAAGGCTCTCCTCACTTTTTTTGAATTCTTGTTTATTCATTCTGTTCTGGTTGAATGTTTATTTCTTCCTTTGGCTCGAAATCATTGATTTGAGTCCTGGTTTCCTTCCCTTCACTGTTGGTTCTCTGTATTTTTTTCTTTATTTTACTTTGCATAGCCTTAACTTTTTCCTCTATTTTGCAACCATACTCGACCATTTCTGTGAGCATCCTGATGACCAGTGTTTTGAACTGTGCATCTGATAGGTTGGCTATCTCTTCATTGCTTAGTTGTATTTTATCTGGAGTTTTGATCTGATCTTTCAGTTGGGCCATTTTTTTTTGTCTCAGTGCATCTGTTTTGTAGTAAGGGGTGGAGCCTTAGGTGTTCACCAGAGCAGGGCACCCCATGTTGCTGCGTTGTGATACTGTATGTGGGAGAGCGGACAAAGAGGGAAAAATGCTGCTTGTTCCACTCTCAGTCAGTTTTCGGTCACTTCCCCCTCTACCCATAAGCAAATTGGGCCTTCTGACGCTGATTCCCAGGTGGGTGGGTTTGTGTACTTTCTAGGACCCTGTGGGTCTCTCCAGTGAACTATCTTGTGAGCCTGGGAGTTTCTCTCACTGCCTCAACCCCCACAGGTGTTTTCAATCAGAGGTTGGAGGCTTTATTTCCCACACTGGAACCCTGGGTTGCTTGGTCCGTCTCTCTCCCCAGTTGTTCCTCCTGGTTTATCTGTGCTTGAATGTGGGACTGCCCAGTCCGCCAGCTACCACCTTGTTGAGAGTCCTTTCTACCCAGCTGCCTGTCTCTGCCCCTCCTACCCATCTGGATGAATGTTTCTTTAACTCCTTGGTTGTCAGACTTCCATACAGTTCACTTTTCTGTCAGTTCTGGTTGTTTTTTGTTTTTAAATTTGTTGTTGTCCTTTTGGTTGTGTGAAGAGGCACAGTGTGTCTACCTACACCTCCATCTTGGCTGGAAGTTCCTCCCTTTTCTATTTTTGTCTTGTAAATATTTCTTGGTAATTGATATATGTCAGGGCCTGGCTATTTTCAAATATTTACAGTTCTTACTTATTTGCATCTCTTCCCAGGACTTCTGCCTGATCAGTCTCAGGAACAGACTGTCACAGTGGATCAGGTGCTCTTTCAGGACCAGCCAAAAGCTCTGAGGAAATGACTCTTTGTTAGGGCACTGAAAATCCCAGTGAGTGTGCAGGTGTGTTCTCTGGAGGGGAGACTTGGTGAACCCCCACAACTCAATGCACTTGGTCATGTGAGTGGGAGCTCAGAGCTGTATGGAGGATAGATTTGAAGAGAACAAGACCGAAAATAGGAGGAACAGTTAGGAAGCTGCCACAACAGTGGTGTGGACAAGAGTCTGAAGGCTTGAACCAGGGAGTCTTAGTAGGGCTGTAGCGGAATAGACTGAGCAGGGCTTCCTGCTGGAGTAAGAGTCATAGATTCCTGGTTTCCAACTTTGGTGACTGGGTGACTTGCAGTGTCATCAAGTTAGGCATTGAACATGGGCACACATGTAAACAGGTTAAGAGGAAGCCTAGGTTTTGAATGAATTGAGTGTGGGATAGTCTGAGAAGATCTATGCAAAAAAAAAATGTACAGCAGGCAGTAGAAAATAAAGGTTAGAAAATGGAGTGTCACCAGCATTAGCATGCAGGTGAAATGAGGAGAATGGGTGAGATGGCTCTGGGAGCATATGCAGAATATGGACAATGGTGAGCTGGAGACAGAAGCAGGCACACTAGCATTTACAGGACATTATGGAGATAAAAAAGGAACAGTCAGAAAGAAAAGCCCAGGAGAATGCTATTGGAGGTGAGAAGAACAAACTTCTAGAAGGTGAGAGTGATAGATAATTAAAATTAATGGATCAGTCACATGGCTAAAACTGTATTACTTGATTTGGTTATTGGAAAGTCTCTGGTAACCTGATAGAGAAAAGCTTTACACAGATTAGCAGCTAAACTGGACTGCAGTGGGTTGAGCAGTGCCTATGAGTTGATGGAACCGAGGGTAGCCCCTTTAAGGGATGCTGGGTGAGAAAGGATGCTTGGGATGGAACAATAAATAGGAGGGGCTGCATTGTGCAAGGGCCAAGGGATAAAATGAGACCATCTAGGTAAGGTGCTTGGCAAAGAATCTAGGATATAGTAAGTGTTCAAGAAACATGAATTGATACCATTCACTTGTTGATCATATAATAATTTCAAACATTACAATGTGCCAGGCTCTGTTGTGGGCCTGCAGATTTAGTAAGTAAGCAAGAGAGACCAAAGCCCTGCCCAAGGAGCTGACATTCTAGTGGGGATACAGACAAGAAACAAGATGAAGTAACTCCAAATTTATAGTATACTTGATAGTGGTAATCGCAAAGGAGAAAAAAGCTAAGGAGATATAAAATGCTGAAGGGAACAAAATTTTAGATTGGGTGGCTTGGGAAGGCCTCACTGAGGTGACTTTTAAGACTCAAAGAACTGAGAAAAGTACCTACAACTAGAAGTAGGAAATAACATTAATTATTATCACTATTGTCATTAGCATTCTTAATACATTATTACAGTAAGATGGTTATTATATTATCACTACTCTCTTTGTCACAATTGATGTTATCATCATTACTGCCATCTCTGGAACTCCTGGGAACAAACGTGTAACCAGATATTCCCTCATTGCTGCCTGGTAGTGAACTAGTACTAGTGGGTTCAGTAGAAGCAAGGCTGCATTTGTGAATGGGTCTCACACGTAGTCATTGCAAATTAACAGCAGCTTCACACATATGCTGAAGCCAGCACCAGACTGATCTTCTATCCTGCTTGCACATAACAGGGCCATCTTCATACCCAAGGGGCAGAGACACAGACATCTCTGAAGCCACCATGACTGCAGCTTGAATCAGCGCAGATGCAATGTGTATGACGTAGAGGTCACAAGATTATATAATCAAGTTATGTTACTGCCAGATGTTTACCTGATTGCTGGGGACAAGACTCAGCCAGTACCACCTGGGAATAATGAAGAAGAACTGGATTTTCTGGCTGTGCACCTAGCCTAGCACACCGCTGAGAATAGCTGGGTGTGTGACAAACTCTTAAGGGATTACACCGAACATGGGGACCAGGCCTTGCTTGTGATGAATGCAGTTGATCTTTCCACAGATTGACTTGGACTAATTACTATCCTCTGCAATTCAGAGAAAATCACCCCCCACCCCGCAAAAAGGAAAAGAATCCAAATGCCTGAGGACTCATCCTATTTTTAATATGTTTAAACTGCTACAAATTTTTTAGAAGGTACAACATCAAGTGTTCATTCCTTCACAGTCACAGGCTTCAGCGGCAGGTGGCATGGGACAGATGCACCCTGCAGGCTTCAACAACAAACCCCATTCCTCACTGAGGTAATAGAAAAGTTCTGAAAATATCTTAGATGCATTTTTAGGTGTATTTATTTTCCTAAGGGACTAAATATAGAACTTGTCTAATAAAAAAAATAATAACCTCAAGATCAAAGCATAGCTTAACTAGCAGTGCCTAGAATACAGAAATGTTTTCATTAATTCCTTGCAAATGTCTGTGTAAATAAAACAGATTGTAAGCACTTCTTTCCTGGCTACAACTAAAACCATTGTAACAACCAAGAAAATGACTATGAAAGAAAGTAAATAGGCCAATTATTTATTCAAGCTAATAGTAATCTGTTATATTTTAAATGTTATTATTGCCTAACCATATAATATTTACCATAAAACATTTCACATACACAAACATACATATATAAAAGTATGTATACTATATTATATTCATGCACATTACATGCTTCTCTAAGGAGCCCAGACACTGACTTCACAAACACCTAGTCTACTTGAAGGCCATGATGAAATGCAGGTAAGGAGAGATTCTGAGTGTGCCTGTCCCCAGCTAGGCAGCCAATGTCCACATCTTCTGCAAATTTCAGATGCAGTAGAGAGTGTAGGAGAGGGAGGGCAGAGATTTCACTGAACCTGGTAAAGACTAAACAGCAGGATAGAAGTTACCATGAGTTTATTGCCTTTGTTTAGAAACAGCTTCATGCTGTCACACTGTGGCTGAAGCGCCGAAGGATGTCTGCGCTCCGTGTGAGCTGCTGAGCCAGGGTGCCTGTGATGTCTGCAGAGTCCCTCAGCCCAGACCGCAGAAGAAGCTCGACACAGGCCACGTGCTGACCTGCGCAGGCCAGGTGCAGGGCTGAATAGAGAAAGAAGTCACATGAACTTAGTGCACGATCCCCAAAGCAATACTGACCTGGTTGGTAGGTTGCTCCTAACAAAAATACTGATTCTTTCAATTGTACAGGTTTTATTTTTCCATAATCTGCCCGTATGACTGCCTATACTAGATAAAACATTCTCCCTTTTAACCTGATTGGGTTAGAAATGGCTTAAAAATAACAAGACCAACTGGAGAGGATTTAAGAGACTTGTCTAAAGCAACAAAGCAAGTTTATGAGAAGTAGGAGACTTCAAGTGGTACAGAAAACATTTTCAAAGTTTCGTGAAATTTCTGTGTAAGTAAAAATATCACCACAAATAAGAATAACGTGTCCAAACCCCTCCCTCGCCCCCCCAAAAAGCAATAAAACAAAAATGGCTGACAAATCTTCCTGTTCTGGTTAGAAATTAGCACTGGAGGGACTCTGGCTCTGTTCTCATCTTTAGGACAAATCCATGTCCCTGGACTTAGTGACCACCTTCTGTGGCGGGACAGTGAGTAATTAGTTATCTATGAGGCTTTTTTTTTTTTTAAAATTCTGAGTCTTTGAAGCATCATGAAGCTCCCACTAAACTCCTGAAGAATGGTGCAGAGAATGTTACTGAGGTCTATTTTAAAGTCCGAGTTTAAACAATTAGCTCTGACAATACCCTTTTGAGCCCTAAATTAAGAAAATTGTAATGGCTGTAGTTTTTACATACATTTCAAAGAGAGATGACCTATGAAGAATCTATAGAATGAATACCTGGATAGCTAGTAGCATCATGGGTGAAAATAAAAAGTGCTTTTATGTCACATATATTGTTGCAGTTTAAAATAAAAACAGTAATAGTAATAACAGTAGTAATGAATAGTAGTCACCATCACTGCCATGGTAACAGCAATAGTTCTATAGCTTTGCAAACACAGATGTTATTTTAAGGAAGTTGCTAGCTAGCATTAGCTCAGTATTAGTTAGGATTAAAAAAATGTACAACTGTAAAAAAAATGTTTTTAAAAGTCCATGTATTGTTTACATGCCACTGACTGATAATTTCCAAGGCACACAGAAGTCGTACCTGATCGATTTCTTTCATCTTTACAGTTAATGTCAGCACCCAAGGATACGAGCATCTGAACTGTGCTCACGTGTCCTTCCTGAGGGTTGAAATAAACTTGTTATCACTGTGACAAGGACCTTTCAACATAAACACTAATGTGTATATATATATATATGTTAGGTCCTTTTTCTAAAATTCTCAACTGCTAAAGCTGAATTTTCATATCTAAAGGAAAACTCATTACATCACACTCAAATTCCAGTATAAATCATTAAAGATAGATTTTGGTGATAACTATATTCTAATAGTTATTAGAATATAGATGGTCAACTTTGTAGGCCAAACTATCAACTAAAATAGTTGGATTTCCTTCAGTGTAATGAGTGTAATTATTGTGATTGCTTGTGAACATACAATTCCAAATCATCTCAAGCACATACATGCTTTGCTATAATCTTCAGGGCAGAAATAAACTAGAAAAGATGGTCACTTCTCCTGGGTAGAATTCTTACCATAGCTGGCATTATCATTCATGAGGTAATTCATACACTTTCTGTCTCACCAATTAGTCCATTAGTGTGTGGTGAGACTAAAATTAAGGTTGGAGGTTCAATTTTCCTGTGGGTAGACCCAACAGTGTCCCACTCTCCCTCCCCCGTGGCCACAGATCACACTCATAGCCCACCCTCGTTTATCTATCCACTTTCTCAGGGGAGTGCAGGCAAGAATGTGTAGTTCGCCAGAAAATATTTATTCTTGTTGCTAGAAAAACAAGAAAAGGAAAGTAGCCAATTATGTTAAAGACAATAAGCAAAAGACTCCTAGTATTTAAATGGGAGAATATAAGCAGCTGCTTTTATAGTGAGAACTTTTTACATGTATTAAATATTTTATACATCGGAGAGGCCAGTAAATGCAATTCCCTTGCCTTAAAGAAATTTTAACTTCTGAAATCTACTTAGGTATAGAGAGCTAGGAATTTGATCCAATGGAATTTTATAGCTTCAAATAACACTATTCTTGAAAACAAAAAAGGGCTGGAGGAAACATAAACTCTGGGCATTTTATGGAAAAAGGAGTGTTTTCAGTTTCTACCTAGCAACAAATAAAAAGGCAGGTTTCTATTTAAAGGGACATGGGGATTCAGAATCATGAACATTTCGGGAGCATATCATGAGCAATTTCTTTCTTCCACAGAGATGGAGCCAGAGAAAAAGGCTGTGGAGCTGTTCATCAGTGGAGTAAAGCAAGCCTAAGGAACTGAGGACAGCCTTATGAAAAAAAAAACAAACCTTAGCTGCATAATGAAGTGCTGTGAGGTGGGTTGATGTAGCTCTCACATCTACATCAATGCCAAGTTCAGAGACCAAGAATCGGATGGCTTCATTCTGCCCAGTGACTGCTGCCCTGTGTATAGCCTGGGCCCCCAGGGAATCCTCAGCAGAAATGCAAGCCTAATAGATTGGGAAGAGATAAGAACAAAAATAAGCAGAGAAACCTGGGTGCACAGATCTTCTGACATTTTAGCTAAACTTAATGGGTTATGTGCATTTTTCTGGGATGATGTTATATAGCTTTTGTCAGATTCTTAAAAGACTCTGTAAACAAACAAACAAACAAATAAAATGGTTAAGATTTAATGCTCTAAAGCAGGGGTCCCCAACCCCTGGCTGTTAGGAACCAGACAAGGGCAGGGAAGCTTTGCTCACATTACAGCCTGAGCTCTGCCTCCTGTTCCCCACCCTCCCTTCACCCCCTCCCCCGGCCCTGTCTGTGGAAAAACTGTCTTCCACAAAACCAGTCTCTGGTGCTAAAAAGGTTGGAGACCACTGCTTTAAAGTGTGCTAACAGTGCACTCAGTGGGGAGTTTGTTGTTATTACTATAAAACAGCCACTGTTTATTAAAATCTTACTTTGCTAATTGCTTTATGTACATTGTATTATTTATCCTTTAGAATAACCCTCTGAAGAATTTAAATTTGTCAGCATTTTACACATAAAAATACTGACGCTCAAAGAGGTCAAGGGGTCCCATGTGGGGACCATGGCAGTGCAGGAATTTGAACCCAGGATATGGATAACTATAACTTCTGTTTATCCTATGACCTAAACTCATAGGAAATAACAAAGGAATAAAACCAAACCATTACTATACCTTATGTTTTTCAAGGAGCAGCCTGGCTATGTTGATGTATCCACACTGAATTGCATCCATAAAGGGTGTGAGGCCACACTTGTCTCTGCAGTCTGGTTCATACTGACACCTAGGGCCCAAACCCAAAATAACAAAGCTGAGAAAAGCCACTGCTTCAGACCCAATGAACAGTTTAGTCTTGACCACCTGCAGTAGGTGACATGCCCTACAAATGATCTGTGAAAATCCAGAGCACTCTCCCTCTTTCCACCCATCTCAATATCAGAACTTAGGTCTTCAACAATGCGTCCATTTCTGGCAGTGAATCTGCTCCTCCTGTAACCTTTGTCACCCCACGTTATGGACTAGCAGCTGTCCAGCTTCTCGTGCCAGAAGCCCCGCAGTCATCCCTAGGCCCTCATGACTGATATATGACCAAAACCTCTCAATGCTTTCAGAATTTTTTTTTAAATGTATCTTTTTATCTCTGCTTTCTCCCCTTAGGACCAAGTCAATAGACAATAACCTCCTAACCATTTTCCTCACCTTGGCTTCTGCCTTGCTAATCCATTCTCACAGCTACCAGAATAATCTTTTCACCATGCAATTTGGGCGTGGCCACTCCTGTTAAAAACCTTTAACTATATACTTTCCAAAAACAAAGCACAAAATCTGGAACCTCAGCACAACCTCTGGTGGCCAAGATAATGTGGCACAAACTTACCTCTCCAGGTTTCTCTCACCCACATACCCCGAGCTTACAGCAAACTGTGTTCTTCCTGGTTGTCCTTTTTTCTAGGTCCTGCTTATTTCCTGGTCCTATCTGTCCTATCATCATCTTAGTCCCACCTCCTACCTATCCTATCTTCTTACATTCCTACCTTCCTTACAATCCTACTTGCCCCACTGCCTTCCTGATCATACCTTCTTCTTGGCCTATCTTCTCCTGTCCCACCTCTCCTTTTCCCGTTCCTGCCTTCAACCTCCTGCCCTATCTTCTCAGTCTCACCTCCCATAAGTCCAGTCATCTTCTCTCCTACCTTCTTCACGGTCCTGCTTTTTAACTGCTCTCTCATTTGCCCAGATCTTTGCTGCCTTTGCACTTGCTAATGCCCCTGCTTGGAACATTATTTCTCCATTCTTCAGCAAACACCAACTTATCATCACAGCTTCAATGTGACCTCACAGAGGCCTGTCTTCTCTCCTGCATCAACAGTACCCTTGCTTCCCCACACCGTTGTATACATTTTTTGTAGTATTACAGGTTTCCCATTATCTGAAAGTAGAGCATTCCTATGAAACCATTTGTAAGCCAAAATGGCATAAAGTGGTATCTCTAGCTTCCTGAAAGTTTGCATTACCTATACCACTTACTCCACTTTTATGAAAGACCTATATTAGTACAGTAACTGCTTTTCTTGTTAAGTAAATTTCCTCTTTGGATTTCTTTTGGTTAGTGAAAACAGGTAGTAATGTAGGTCTCATGTAAAGGCAAAGTGGGATAATGTGAACTTTCAGAAAGTTGGGATACCTGTATTACAATTTATAATTTTATGTTATTTATGTCTATGATTGCTTACACTTGGCTTCCACACCAGCCTACAGGGAAAGAACTGTTTGTTTTGCTTACCACTGAGCATCTAACACATAGGAAGTGCTTTAAAAAATGTCTGTTCAATGGATGAATACTTAAAAATTTCCAGACAACCAAGTATGTTCCAATATGCAGCAGATAAGCTTTACACATAAGCAGTGCTTTCAAGGTACTGCATTAAGTTCTCTTCTTGTGTTACTATATATTGTCTCCTCAGGTAATCTGTTGTACTCTTATGAATTCAGTCATCATTTCTATGTTGATAAGGCCCACATTTCTATCTCAGTCTATACCTTTCCTTTGGGCTTCATATCTGTGCCTCTGACTGTCCCCTTGATGTCTTTGCTTGGATGTCTCACAGGTACATCCAACTCAATGTGTCCAGAAGTGAAACTGGCATCTTCCCCACAAAACCTGCTCCTCCTCCACTGCTCTCTACCTTAGTAAATGGCACAAGCATGATCATACCAGCTGCTTAAGTGAGAAACCTGGAAGTGATCCTTGACTTTTCCTTCTCCCTCATTTGTTTTATGGAATTATTTCCCTAGATCTATTGATTCTATGTAAACATCTCCAAATCTTTTTCTTCATCCCTACAGTCAGTTTCTCAGTCCAGCAACCACGGTTTCTCTCCTGTCTAACTACAACAGCCTCCCAACAGTCTCCCAGCAACCTTCATAGCACCCACTGTTGCTTCTCCTCCAAGTCATTCAATATTTTGCAATCAGAGGATCTCTGAAAAATGCAGATTTCTTACCACCCATCTCTGTGCTTAAAACACTTCAGTGGAATCTTATATGCTTAGAATAAAGCCTAAAACCTGGCCTTCCTCTGCAGCCTTACCCTGCACCATTCCCCCATCATTACGGGCTTCAGCGTATATTGAGCTTTCAGTTTCTTATGTGTACTATGTTTTTTCTAGGCTCTGAGCATTCCCAGGTACTGTTTCCTCTGTTTGGAGTGCCCCCCTGCTTCCTACTGTCTGCCTCCTTCAGGTCACAGTTTAAATATCACTGGGGCTGAGATTCCTTACTCTTAAACCTAGTTGTGTCTTCCTGTCATATGCTCCTGTAGGGATCCTGCAACTCTTTGTAATGGTCGCTAGACTAGCACGACTTGTGCACTGTCTGTGACTTCCATGAGAGGGAAGCCACATTGTCTCATTTCTGTTGCAGCCCCAGCATCTGGTACAATTCATAATAGGTACTGAATAAATAGATGAATATTGTTGAATTAACAGACAAATGAATGATCTTCTCTCATGTTTGTCAGCTATTTTTGTTTTATGTTGAGCTATCTGCTTATATCCTTTCTTCACTTCTCCCTTGGTGCCTTAGTTGCTCTATGAACAATTTGCTTGAGTTCTTCATGTAGCATTGATACTAACTGTCATAAATAGCAAGTATCTTCCTCAATTTGCTGTTTTATTCTTACCTCTGAAGAAGCACCTTTACTGCTTCTAAACAGCCATGCATTGCTGGGAGAAGAGAGTGGAGAATTAGAGCTTTTAGGTGGACATATAAAAGGCTTCTTTCCTCCTGGCACTGGTCTCTGTCCCATTTTTTAGCTATGACTTACAGGAAAGTATAATTATATTAGGTACATAAATAAAAATTTGGCTGGATAACTGGTAAAGAATGTTTTTACTGAATAGGTCTATAGCCAAAACTGATTCTCTTTTTTAGTACTTTTACAACAAATTTTCAGTCCTAAACTTATCTCCTCACTTTTTTCTGCCTAGAAAATGTAAAACATTTTAAGAGTAATCTATGACAAAATAACCAGGAATTTAATTCTCCTACTAAAAATAACTATAGTCAATAATAAAGATTTTTGACTCTCTGTGCTCTAGTACTTTGTGTGAACGACAGGGTGCTGTTTCTCCAGAAGGGTAGGGGAGCTTGCTGGACAATCTGCGAGCAAGGAAACATTTGCTACCCACTGGCAAAGTTTTAAAAAGAATTCCTTGGTCTCTACCTGCCCACTGTAGGTAGAACAAATGCATGCTTATTTTCTAAGCTATATTATGTCACGAGCATTGACTTTTAGAGAAACTAACAATCCTGTATTGTAACTCAATGCACTCTCTAGAAGGCTGAAGATTATTTTCTAACTTTCTTGGTCTGGATTGTTGAGCTCATTAACATCTATTTCATCTTATGCCATCGCATTTTTGCTTGTTACTAATTTTAAATACTGTACAAATAGATAATTCAGAATTAAGAATAATTATTCAAAACAATGAAAGCTATGCCCCAAATTTATGTTTGACATCATCACTAGATAAATCAAATACACTCAGATCCAAGTATTAATTATAAGCACCCATATTTATTTAAATGGGTAGTGCTGTTGTAGGTATTGCTGAGGATATTTAAAAAAACCATCTCTTTTCCTACTGCCTTTAATAATACAAACAATGTAGAAATGATAAGGTAGTAGCAGCTAGTTCTGTGCTCACGTGTTAAGCACTGTGTTATGGGTTTTACATACATCTGTCTCCTTAAACCCTTTAAGAACCTTGTGATATGGGTATCAGTATCATCAATATCTTGCTGATGAGGAAACTTGCTAGTGAGGAACAGAACCAGCTTGCCATCTAGCTGGGGAGAGTAGGAATGATATGCACGAACAGTGACCTAATATAAGAAAGAAGAGCATGTTAAGTGCCAAATGGCATTAGCTTCAGAAACTAAGTATATGCCAAAACACCCAAAAGCAGCTCTTATTCCCTGATCTCTTTTCCAAAACCCTCCAACTTGGTGACATTCGCCAGTGCTGGGAAGGCAAGCTGCACATCTGTGCTTGCATGCCTGCCGAACTCTGGACCATACCTGCCGTGTGCAGAGGAGTTCTGCCAATTTTGCTCTCTGTCTTCCAGGAATCTGGGCAAACAGTGAGCAAATACTGGAGGATTTGAGGGTCACCTTCTCGGCAGGCAATGTGGAAGCTGTTCCAGCCATCTTTGTTCTTCAGAAGTGGATTTGCACCATGTTCCACAAGGTCCTGGATCACCCCAAGATTCTTCCTTGTGCAAGCCATCATCAGAGGAGTCCTGAGGCCAAATAGGACAAGCTGTCAGGTGGAGGGGCAGCTGAGACATGAGAAGGGTGTGACCAGGTTTTTAGAGAAACATACATCCTTCATAGAGATGAAAAACCTAGAGAACTCAGCAGTCTTGGAAGCTGGAAAAACTGGCAACTTCTCTGCCTATCCTGATGACCCTGGGTGAAATAACAAGGGGAAAATGGTTGTGATATAGGCACGCCTACAGGAAGGGGATACTGAAGAGGCAAAGCTGCTCCTGAGCTAGTTTATAGTATGGCACCGAATCTGGACTGAGCTAATACAAACCATAAAGTATGTCCTGAAGAATACTGCATAAGAAGTACTCTGCTGGCCTTATCCCAACCACTTCAGTCAGAAACCATTTATTAATTACATTGTGCTGAAAAGGAGTTTAAAAAGAGCATTTGACACAGCATCTAGCCATAAAAAGCATACACTGGTGAAGCAAATAAAGCAATGTGATTACAATAAGTTTCTGAACTGACTTGTGTCCACAACTATAGGAGAGTGAACATATGATTTGGGGTAAGCCATTTCACTTCCATGAGTGTCTTGGTTTTTTCTCTGCAAAACAAAGGGGCTATGATTTCTGAAGAGCAGGGGCAGGTCTTGTTTATCTCCTCATTCCCAGGGTAAGAACCTCTGTCTGGCACACAGTGGGAGCTCACTATACTTGAATGATCTCTAAAGTTTCATTATAAAAAAGGTAATGTGGTAATGACAGTGAATGAGAAATTATGGGGGGAAACCCCAGATAAATGAAGGCTTAAATCTTCAGGAGCTTCACAGAGGGAATGAATCTTGAGCAAGGTATAACTGGATAATTGGAAAAGCAGAGAATGTATTTCAGAAAGCCAAAAAGGTAAGAATGGGAAAAATGTCTTACTGTGACTACACATATCCCAAATACATGATCAAATAAACCTCCTCCTTTTAGAGTGTGTGTGTGTGTGTGTGTGTGTGTGTGTGTGTGTGTGTTTGGAGGCTCCTTCCTTATCTGAAGAATTACTTTAAGGAATATATGAGGTCATTGCCTCTTGGAACTGTCTTTATTTTATTTTATTATTTATTTATTTTTTAAAATATTTTATTTATTTATTTTTAGAGAGAGGGTAAGGAAGGATGAAAGAGAGGGAGAGAAATATCAACATGTGATTGCCTCTGGTGTGCCCTCTACTGGGGACCTGGCCTGCAACTCAGGCATGTGCCCTGACTGGGAATCAAACCAGGGACCCATTGGTTTGCCAGCTGGTGCTCAGTCCACTGAACCACACCAGCTAGGGCATATTTTATTTTTTTAAACATCACCCAAGGGTGTTTATTGATTTTAGAGAGAGTGGAAGTGGGAGCAGGGGGCGATAGAGGTAAGGGAGAGGGAGATAGAGTTTGGATCAGTTGCCTCCAGGGACCAAACCTGCAACCTAGGTATGCGACCTGACCCAGGATTGAACCCACAACCTTTTGGTATATGGGACAAAGCTCCAACCAACCAAACCATCCCGCCAGGGTTTAGAACTGTCTTTAGATCAATTTACTAGCAGCACAAGAAAATAAATCTTGTGCTTAGTCACAGCCAAAGTGCAACCCTCAAAACACAACCGGGCCTACTCCCCTCATTACTGTAAATACTCTTTACTGCATATGGTTGTATGCTGTGTTTCTTATTTATATCACATCAGGAATTACTTGTAAGCAAGAACTTCATTATGTTATGAATCTTAAGGCCTTCATAATCTCTAAGGAGCCGGACTCAGGGAGTACTGAAAACATTGGTCTAACAAAATGCAATTGGTTTGTGTGATAGTAAACGTGAGTATCTTTGACTATGGAAGTGGTTATGCAAGGTTTTATACATAACAAAAACACAGAGAGCACCACCTTCACACAAGTGTATGTATAATCTGGTGGACTGTGAATGAATATATTGTTTGCAGCAATGTCAGTTTCTTAGTTCTGTTATTATGATGTAACTGTGTAAGATGTTAACTTTGGGGGAGCCTGGGGCAAGGGCATGTGGGACTTCCCTGAACATTTCCTTGAATATAACTTTCTGTGAATCTATAACTATTTCAAAATAAAAAGTTAAGTCAATGCCATTGGTGAAGTAATCATTTACCTAGATGTCCCTAGAAGAACTACATATCCTGGGGCTCACGTTTTATGTAGTACAGACAATTCATTGTTTTATATTATTCTATCTGGTAATATTCTGTACTGTTCCCTGCTTTTTAAAGGGAAGCAAATGCCTGGACCAGTTGATTCTCCAAGGGTAGGAACAATGTGTCCTAATGGGGAAGGCTGAGAAGCTATGCAGTAGAGGCAAAGTAAATGAGAATCTATGATTCTGCGGGAAAGGGGTATCTTTCTGGATACCCCTAAATATTCCGCCACCTACCAGTCACCCCTCTTCAGGCAGTCGACCATGGCTCCCCCGCACAGCAGGTACCGCACGCAGTCCCGGTGGCCCATGGAGGCAGCTTCGTGTAGAGGCCGCTTGTAGTCTCGGTTGGCCGACTCGATGTCCAAGTCCCAGTCCTCAGCCAGACAGGCAAGAATGTCCCGACGCCCGTGACGGGCCGCGCAATGCAGCAAGGTGTCGCCCGCTAGCCCGGGGCAGCCAGCGCCCCCAAGTCTCTGCAGTTCCTCCCGCAGGATGCACAGCCGGCCTTCTTGCACCAGCCTGAAGAGCCGCCTCGGGTCCCCGGGTGCCGCCATGGTCACTGGGGCCAGACGAGGTGTCAAGAGTCCCCTGACCTGCCCTGGGGTGGGCGTACTGTACGCCACCCGGGTGTCCGTTTCTCACTCTGGACCCCACTCAGGGGTGGAGCCGGGAAGAGACCGAGCTTCCCTAGGCTGGGTGGTTAGTGCACCTGCAAACTCGCTTCGCAGGTCGCTGGTAACCTGTGCTCCAGGTGTGGGCAAAGCAGTGTTCCCGGAAGCGCGGCACTTAGGGAAGCTGCCGCCCATGTGGGTTTCATTTTGGGGCAAACCACTGGATAGTGCGTTAGCTGTTGTCAAACCCACCACCTGGCCGCCCCGTGCCCGTCGTGCCGCCTGGCGCCCGTCGGGGACCGCTCTCACTCTGCGTCGTATCGGGGCAGCCCGGGATCTGACTTCCTCCAGGGAAGGGGGTTAGTGAGGTACCCGCACTAGCGAAGAGCTCCGATTTTGGCCTACTGGATGGCAGCTCCGCGCCCACGAGACACTGGTGAAGGAGCCCGCTGGGAGCCACCGCCCACACTCTTTACCAGGGAGACGCCGCTCTTGGGGATGGGGTGGGGTCCCGCACGTCCCGATCCACGGCCAAGCCCTCATTAAACCGTAAGCAACCTCCACCCCACTGCTGCCGCTCCGTAGGTCCCCGAGAGCTCGGAGGAACTCTGGGAAAGTTTCCATTGGCCACTAATCCGTAGCGGAAGCACGGGCAGGAGGGGCCGCTGGCCTAGGCCGCGCCCCCTCCACACTCGCTTTCCGATTGGCCGCGGGGGAAGTCCGTCAGCCCAGGGCTGGCCCTTCCCGGGGCAGCTTTGGGGCCGAGCTGTCAGAGGAAGTCCGAGGCCTGCTCTGTCTAGCGCTGCCTTGTGGACGCCAGGGCTGGGAGTCGAGACTGCCCCGGTCCGGGGGCGACGGCGGTGGCTGCAGCCCCCGTCCGGAGCGCCATAGTGCGTGAGGCCACGGACGTGGCACGGAGCGCGGGCGGGACCCTGAGCTGTGAACACTTAATCTTTTGGGGTCCTGAGCAAGGGTCTGGTATCTCCGGGCGGGGGGCGGGTCTGCGGGGGGTGTGAGGACCCCGGGCCTGGGCTGTCGGGAGGCGGGTGAGCTGACGGCTTGTGGCGGGGTTTGCAGGGTGGAGGCCGAGGGGCGCACCTACACTATGTTCTAGCGCTCGGGAAGTGGGGAGGTCGTCGTTTCTCGGTGTTTCTAGGAGTCACGGGGAATGTGGCCTCTGCTGCAGGCAAGACAGCATTCTTTTTTTACTCTGGTATTTTGACCTTGGGCAAGTCATTTTATTGCTTCCTTTTGCCTCTTTTACTTGTAGTCTCCCTCCCCCTTACCTGAATACTAAGAAAAACTGAGGTAATGTGGGAAGGCCTTGAGCTTGTGGAAGATACGTTAAGATCTCAGCAAGCTGTATGGGGGGCTGGAAGGAATTTGAGTAGGTGTTGAGTTCTTTCTCTTTCTAATTAGGTACTAGTTATTTAAACCTCTTGGTGTTTTCAGTTCCTTTAAAGGTAAAATGGGAGTTGCTACTATTTGCCAGACCTAGAAACAATTATGCTCTACATATTATTTTGCACTCTCTGGTGTACAAAGCACTTTATGTAACCTGCAAACAGCCCTTTGAGGCATCATCATAGATGGGGCCTAAAAAGTTAGTGATTTTGCCATGAAAGTATAGATTATAATAAAGTCCGATGGAAGGAAGGATGGTAACAGCTAGTGAGTGCCTGCTAGTTCCTGGCCCTGCGCTAAAGTAAATTGAGGGGATAAAGTGGAAAAAAAAAATGCCTCTGGTATGGGCTTATGAAAACCCATTTTAACAGTGAGCAGATTAAATTCGGTTAACTTACTGAACAATATCGACATTCACTGGAGACAATACCAGGTCCTCTATCAACTTTGCCAAAATGTTTGCCATTGTGTCTTGCCATTTAAAAAAAAAAATAAAGAAGGCACGAAAGTGATTTGAAATACATGAAGTTTTAGAAAATGCCAAGCATTGTTCCTTCTGCTGCTGTTGGAGTCAATGTAAATGGAAGTTAAGGCATCTGGTAGCTTTACAGTTTCTGCTGCAAATGCTCTGCTCGTCCTAATTACAAATCAGTCCACCTTCTCTTGCTTCATGCCTCCAGTTTCCCTGTTTTAAAAACAAAATTGAAAGACATTGGATGCACGATAGGATGATTTTAAATCCAGATGATTAGTTACTTAGCTGCTATCAAATGCAATTATTCCCTTGTCTTTTTAGAAACTTATTTTGATCTGTATCCCCCTTTAGATAACTAATTGATAATGTATGTAAATATGTCCACAGTCCCTGTGATTTTCTGGAGCAAAAGCTTGGTGTACAGGAAGCAAATGGATGGAGCTATTCTGGGCTCTTGCTGATTTTCCATTTGGGTTGCCCATTTCCTTTGTACAGGCTTTTGATATTTGTGGTATTTTGTGGTCTGGCCTTTACTGTGTCATTATGCAGGGAGTCATGTTGCCATTGTGGTTTGCCTCTTGTCTGTCTGAGTTCCTTTCTCCTGCATTGTATTTCATGGTCATGTAGCATTCAGCAGTAGTCATTGGTGTCTTGATCATTTGACATGTTTTGTGATCTGTGAATGTGTGAACACCAGACTATTGGTGTTGGACTTAGAGCTCTAACTTCAGACCTGTTGTCATCATCTTTTCTCTGCTTGTCATATCCCTCTGTCCTTCCTGGGCTGACTTTGTTTGAAGACTGAATTTGGTTCTGTCTTTGCCCTTCTGGCTGTGGAATCATCTTCTAGAAGCATCTCACCAAAACACCTCAAATCTTATGTCTCAACTGTCATTCACATGCCCTTTGAGGACCAGTCTCATCAAAGTACTTCCTGGAGCTTTACTTAGTATTCCACAGATAACTTTTTTTTTTTTAAATCTCACCCAAGGATATGTTTCTTATTGATTTTAGAGAGATGAAGGGAGAGAGAGAGAGAATGATGGATCGGTTGCCTTCTGTACATGTCCCAGGTAGGGTTCAAACTGGAGACCTAGCCATGTGCCCAGACTGGGAATTGAACCCATGACCTTTTGGTGCATGGGACTACACTCCAACCAACTGAGCCACACAGCCAGGGCTCCACAGATAACTTTAAAACAAAAACAAACAATTATTTTCAAAACTGAAAACTTTTACCCTCCCCTCACTCCAGGAAAAAGTGATTAAAAGAAAAACACTGTCTCTCCTTTATTTCTTAATGTGTTAATGACATTATCATTAAGTTCCAGCTGGAAATGTCAGTTATCTTTGTTCTTTCTTTTTTTATCTTTCTCTTCTAGTCTTGTTAGAAAAGATTCGTTGATCTTCACTTTTCCCTACTCCTTATTTCTGTTGCTGCTCTCAAGCCTTTACCAACTCTTGCTTTGGTTAGTAAACTCATGTTCTGCCTTGTTTTCCTGACAATCTTCGTGTTTACCGTATATCCAGTGTTACTGTTCTAATGCGTAAATTTGATTCTATAATATATCAACCCTGCTTAAAAACTAGATGGTTCTCTGAATTGCCTACCCAATAATGTCCAATTTCCTTAACATTATACAGGTGTGGGCAAAAGTAGGTTTACTGTGTGAGTACATGAAACACAGAATTTATGCTTGTATTATTTATTAATTATTATAGTATTTTCCATATGAACAACTGTAGACCTACTTTTCCCCACTCCTGTTAAGGACCTTTATAGTCTGTGCCTCCAAGTTCCTTTTCCAGCTTTGTCTCCCATTCACAAATCCCTTGTTCTAATGAAACTCAACTTCCCATCACACACTTGCTGTGCTATGTCTCTGTGATTTTGAACATATTATTTCTTTTGCCATACTGAATCCTACTCATGTTTTGAGGCTGAGCTCTTCATAAAGGCTTTTTCAACTTTCCTAACTATTCACTTTTGTTTACATATTATCATAGCACTTCATGTGTGCATTTGTGTGGAACTTATATTGCCTTATGTATAATAATTTGCATTTGTTTTGGTAGTTGCCTTGTGGGCAAGCTAAGTCTTACTGATTTTTCTACCTTCAGTGCCTAAAATGACATTTGACGCCAGAGATACCAAGAGAAGAAGCATTTGTGGTGTTTATAATGAATTTTGGACATAGTGAATACTTAAAAGTGGTTGTAGAATGAATTGACCATAGAAAAAGTCTTTCAAATATATAAAAAACATGCTTTAGCCTGTAAAAAAATGATTATTTTCTTGTATTTCCTTATTTAAAAAAATCATTCTTGCCCTGGCTGATGTGGTTCAGTGGACTGAGTGCTGCCGGGCCTGCAACCAAAGGATCTCCGGTTCGATTCCCAGTCAGCACACATACCTGGGTTGCAGACCAGTTCCCCAGTAGTGGGTGTGCGAGAGACAACCACACAGTGATGTTTTTGTCCCTCTCTTTCTCCCTTACTTCCCTCTCTCTAAAAATAAATAAATGAAATATTAAAAAATCATTCTTTTCCTGTAAGAAGCATTCACAGAGAAAAGCTCCTGCCATCTTAGTTTGCGGTGTTAAGTGAACGTGTCTCTAAGGGAGGAGCAGGCATCTGCAAGATGTGTAAGGACTTAAGGATGAGTGAGCCTGGAGCTTAGTTTTCAGTTTGGAGAGAAGTAGGCTGTGGTGCTGGGGAAGACCTGGCTTTGCATCAAGAGTGGGTACTTGGGAAGGAGCTAGCTTGGTAGTGTTTTCTCTCTGTGTTTGTCTCTTTTAGAACTAAAGGGGACAAAAATATTTTGAAGTTTTTCCATTTTGAGTCTACAGTATTTAGTAATGTTTTCCCTGTAGTTCCATTATTCATATACTTGGTTGTTATTAATTCATTGGTTATGATATTGCACAATGATTTTTAAAAAGTGACAAATTAAACCTAAGGTTTTTAGAAGCTGCTTTAAATCTTTCTGGGCATGGAAGGGAGGATGTTATAGCTGGAAGAACACTGGACTCAGGGAGTCAAAGGAGCTACGTTCTATCATCTACAAGTTGTGTTGTGACTTCAAGCAAGCCTTCTCCGAGACCCAGTTTAATCATGGCACAATTGTAGGATTGTGTGAAGATTGAATGAGAGTATGTGAAAGAACTTTAAAAGCTAAGAAGCATTTAGGAACTGAAAGATACTACAGGATTTTGAAGACAAGCTAAGTTTCTTTAGAGGAAAGTGCTGTAGTTGGGCAGCTGTTCATGTATTTTACCATTATTTATGGAGGGATATGCAGTCGATGCTGGGGCGGCATGAGTTTCTCATTCTTTCCTCCCACCAGACCATAGACGTTTCAGTCCAGGGCTGGAAGGCATATCAATACACACTTACACAAACAATTGTTAATAATACAATAATAAAATATGCCCTAGTAATAATTATTTGTATATGACACATATTAACCACATAGTTATACAAATAATTATGACAAGTATCTCAGAGACATATGGGGTGGTTTTATTACAGCAGAGTGCTTCCTGACTGGAAAGAATATTTTCTCCTCTGTTAGAGTTGAGGAATCACACCGTTAACTGTGTTTAAATAGTGCTCTTATGTCTCACAGGTGGCATCTTGGCCTGTGAAGTACTTGAATCCTGGTAATAATGAGCTACATTGCAGTTCTCTTCTGACATCTCCACAGGAAATGCAAGAGGGGAATTATCTACTTGTTGATCTTTATGGAGTCCCTCAGAGAAAAGTGAGAGACTTGTGGGGCACTAACAAGATGAGGTTAGGGAGTCAGTAAGTTTTCTAGATTAGCAAAACTGCCCTCAGTGGTTTCTTGTTAAGGGGAAGGGAATCTCTCTCATCAGGTATCTTGTACTAGAATTGCCTTGATTAAAAAAATAATAATAATAATCTTTTCCTCCAGGAATTGTAGGTATTTATTATCTTCATCTTGTCCATTTAGGGTTGTAACCTATAAATTTTAGAGGACTTTTTGGTATAATTATGATTAGTAAAGTTAGGGGAAGAAAGGAAATTATTTGGTATCAATTTCAAATGATCCAGGAATGATTAAGGTAAGCCTGGCTACAGTAACAGATGGAAACATACAGGAACCTCACAATCAAGAGTTCAGTCCTCAGTCCCATAACAGTCTAAGGTATGTCCAGATTGCCGGGGGTGGGGGAGAGAGAGAAAGTGTAAATTCATCACTCTGTAGGCTATAATCTGAGGACCCAGCCTGCTGGAGGCTCTTTCTTTTTGAATGTGTCTTCTAAGGATGCCCTGGGGAATTTGCTTCCCCGTTCACTAGAAGGGGAGCAGAGAATGGAGGAACAAGCGTGACAGGTATCTATGGGCTAGGCCTGGAAGAGAGACACATCCCTTTATTCACTTTCCTTGGGCTAGAGCTCAGTTAAGACAACATCCTTGGCTAGCAGAAGTGTAGACTAGCTGTGTGCTGAGGAAGAAGAGGAATTATGGTCTTTAAAGACCATAGCCACAAAACACAGAGCAGTCTATTTTACTTTCAGCAACTTGTTTTGTAAATTGTTTTACAATAAAAAGATTAAAAACTGGAGCCAGGCGGGTTAAAACAATTGAGGAGTCAGCCACATACTGCTCATTCAACAAATATTTGAGTATCTGTTATTTGCAAAGTATTCTGTGAAGTGCCGTGGGGAATAAAGTGATGAGACATGTTCCCTGTCTTTAAAGGGCTTGTAGTCTAATAGAGGTTTAGTGGTAATTATAGGCCAAGGGGGGCTGATCAGAGTCTAATCTCGTCAGTGGGCCTGACTGGTGGAGGATGGGGTGGGGGCTGGAAGTAGGGTGAGGATGAGATGATCATCATCATAGTGAAGAAGAGATTGATGATGGGTAAGGGCCAAACTAGGTAATCACCAGTTTGAAGTCATATGGCAAAAACCTGGGACCAGCTGTCTGAGCTGGGGGCTTTAGAAAGGGGGCCATGGGAATGGGGGAATCAGAGGGATGTCACCCTGTAAGAAAGCCATTGCAGAAAAAGTGTGGGAAGGGGAAATTGTGTTTGACAAAGTGATTTTCATATGGTCTCCATTTTTTAATTTTTTTGTCCTAACACCTGAGGGATATGACACATTTCTATTAGTTACTGTGGTAGAGTCTCCCATAGGGGTTCAAATACTGACTTAGGTTTGGAAGAGACCCAGTTGAGCATCTTTGGGGCCTTATAGATTTTGGAAGGTCCACAAGTGACTCTGACTCTCTCTCTCCCTTTCTTACTGGTGCACATTTATCATGGAGCCCTCTTTGACTTTGCTCCTTTAAGAATCTTGAGCAGCTTCTAACAATAAGTGTCCTTTAAGAGAGGTGCAAAGTGCACTTGCTGTGTAGAAGAGGGAGGGAGAAGTACGATGGGCTTTGGGGGACTCAGGAGGAAGAGGTAGTATTTGAGCATCTTTATTTTGATAAAGTTATATTTGTACTGCTGGTTTAAAAGCATATTAAGAATAGAAGGGTGGTTAGAATTTTACTATAGTTCTAAAAATAATGTTGCAAGAGTATTAATGCTATTAAACCTCATGCACCTTCTAGAAGATACTCAGAATGGTGTGGTTGATTTATAATTCTGACATTTCAGCTGATTGGTTTTGTCAGCTTCAATGTGGGTGTCACAAAGCATTTTCATCTATATTGTCTCATTTGAACCTCATATAATTATTCTGTGAATTCAGTGTGGCGGGTTATTATAACCCTCCTTTTTAATAGTAACGAATTCAAGGCTTTTAGTGATTAATATACCTACCAAGTGGAGGAGGTCTTCTGGCTCCAAATCTGAATATACTGTGCACCTTTTAGTGAAATGATTTGTTCTACACAGGGCTCCTGATTTCCAGTTCAGTGAATCATAGCACCTCCTCTCTCAGAGATCTGAGAGGCAGACAAAATGCAGTCCAATTTTTCTGAATGCTATGTAGCTAAAGTCAGACAAGTAATTTTGGACATATAAATACAATGAAAGTGTTAGCTCCGCATCCCAGGTAAGCAGTCATGGCTCAGGTGATGCCATTCCAAATCGACAATATAGGTAGCCATTTTTAGTGCCCAGAAGCCAGATTACCCTGTCTAGGTGCCCTTCCCCTGATTTGTTAACCTTATACTCTTCCATGGTGGCTTCCTGCCAGAACACATTGGAATATACAAGAACTCTGGAAGCAGAACTCTGTGTTCTTCCACTCCCCTTATCCCTTTTCTTTGGCTCCTGTGCCTTTGTTAAATTTTAAACATTTAATCTTTTCAACAAGCATTTAAAATTCAGACATATTTTACAAAATACATCCTTAAATAAAAGTCTACCTTTGTTCATATTACCTACTTTTCCAGAATAGTTTCTTTGGGCACTTTTTAAAAATTTTATTTATTTATTTATTTATTTATCTATCTATCTGTCTATCTATCTATTTATTTATTTATTTATAGAGAGATGGGAAAGGAAGGAGAAAGAGAGGGAGAGAAACATTGATGTGAGAGAGAAACATCGATTGAATGCCTCTCGTGGGTGTGCTGACCAGGAACCGAGCAAGCCAGCTGGCAACCTAGGAACATGTCCTGACCAGGGATCTAACTGGAGACTTGTTGCTTTGAGAAATGATGCCCAACCAACTGAGCCCCACTGGTCAGGGCTCTCTGGGTATTTTTGATGTACTTGTGTCTGTCTGGTGTACTACATTTAAGGATACTCCCATGTGGTTTGCCCTTGCCAAGTTCTAAATGAATGCAGTTCTAGAGCAAATTTCTAGTGATCTAAGGCTTAGGTTCCTCTGCCACCCAACTTTACCATTCTGACTTTTCTGTTTTCTCATCATCCTTCATTCTTTCAGTATTTATTGAACATGTACTGTGTGTCTGGCATCATGCTACATGCAGAGGGTACAACAGCGGAAAACACGGAATACTTCCTACCTTCTTGGAGCATGCTTTGACTCTTAGGCATGTTATTAAAACATCACTATCTTGTTAATGGTTATTTTCAGTGCTTCTGTGTTTTTACTGTGCCATCATTATTATAGTTAGTTGGCTGGGGAAAGATGGGATAAAGCCATTCTTATGGACTCTTTACAGAAAATGTTCCAAGGTACATTATGTATGTATGTGTGCCTGTTCCATACAAATCTGCTGACAGCTTCTGTCTTGTATCATTCCAAAAACTGAACTTAGAGGTATATTGTATATTTGGGTGGGTGACTGAGGACTTGAGACAGAATTCTAGGTACAGTTGCTAGAATGTGTTGCTAAGAGAGAATATGAGATTTTCTCCTTTGAGATTCTTACAGGTAGATTTAATCATCTTCTACTTGGGAGCCTTGCTTCTATCCTATATCCAATGCTGAGATCCTCTAGATGCTGAAAGGAGGACAGTGTGGTCTTCTCTAGTAATTTACAATGTTTTACTAGTCACTGCATTCTGGTCCTGAGACTTGGAGAAGCTGGTATATACCGTGTAGGGGATGATTAATGAGTTTATTTTTGAAAAGCTATAACCTACTCTTAAATATTTATGGTTATTATGGGAACATAAACATCTGGCTAAAGTCAAGGAAAAGATGCTAGATCTTTATCCATTAGTGATAACTTCTTTTTGAGAGAGTATTTTATGATCTGGGCTTGGAGAAAGTACAATAAGTGAAAAAGATGTCTTTTTAGGATCTTATTTTAGAATTCTTAAATTTTGAGGAAGAAATGCTAACAAACTATGAAATGACTAAAAGTTGATGGGAATATAAGCAAAAAGAAAAGGGCTGTCTGGGGTGGTCCACAGTCACTGTATTCCTTGAAAATGAAGGACAATTCGCTGGCCTGCTTGTAGAATTGGTGGTAACTAACAAGTGTCCCATTTCTTCTGCCTTTTTGTACAAAACAGTGAGACGGTTTAAGCGGAAGCATCTTACAGCCATCGACTGCCAACATTTGGCTCGGAGTCACTTAGCTGTGACCCAGCCCTTCTGTCAACGATGGACAAACAGAGACCCAAACCATGGTCTCTATCCTAGACCCAGAACAAAAAGAGGGACTAGAGGTATGTCTTCCAAAAAAGTACCTCGCATGTCAGAATCTGTAGTGTGTATGGCCTTTGAATATCTCCCAAGTATTTGTAAGTACTACTGCTGTGTTTCTGTCATCCTGTTGCAATAGTTAGACACTTTTTGAAAAAATTATTTGTGAGTTTTCCATGAAAATCCCATCCTATTATAGTTGTTGGTAAAGGCCTCAGGAAAATGTGAGCAAATGAACTGCTTAATTATAACATGGTAGGAAAACACATACCAGTATCACCACCATTCCAATCTAGAACCATTATGATTTCTTGACTCTGCAGTAATTATCTTTGTCCAGTTGTTACTGGGTCCACTGTGTCATTATTTTTCTTCAAAATGTTCCCTCATTCAGTGACTTCATGGTAGGCCATGCCCTTGGTCACCTCAGACCTGGACTGCTACAGTGACCTTTCTCCTTGCCTTTAGATTTGTTTCTTTCAAATCAGCTAGAATATACATCAAGTTAATACTTTGAGTACCATTTCCTGTCACGTCACTGCCTCTCTGAAGACCCACAATGAAAGGTCTCTCTGTTACTATTATGGACTCAAGCTCAAACTTGCCACCACCTGATATGTTGTACTGATTACACACAAGTTCTATTTCTGACACTTTGGTTTTCTTATTACCTCTCTATGTGCTAGATGAAGTCCTACTTTTGCTAATATCTATTAGTATGATCCAGATTACCTTAGTTCCCCCTTGAGATATCTAATCTCAGAATCCAACTCAAATCTTAACCTAATTTTCTGTAAATATTGTAATTTGTGTTTATCACATTTTGGAACTGCCATAGCAAATTTATGAGGCAGTTTTAAACTAAATGGTTATATTTTGTTTGCTTTGTGTGTATATTATAAGTCAACTTCTCCTCTTTTGTGAGTTCTTTACCAGCAAAGACTTTGTCAGCATGTGTATGTTTCAGTGCGGAGTCCTAGCACTGAGAATGCAGTAGGCTCTTAATGGATACTGCTCTGATTGAATTCCACAATTAGAAAAATGTCAAAAAAATATAAAAGATTTTATTTGTTTATTTTGAGGGAGAGGGGAAGGGAGGGAGAAAAAGAGGGAGAGAAACATCAATGTGTGATCAGTTGCCTGTTGCCAGCCAGGGGACCTGGCCCACAACCCAGGCATGTTCCCTGACTGGGAATCAAACAGGTGGCCTTTTGGTTTGCAGTACAATGTCCAGCCCACTGAACTACACCAGTTAGGGCAGAAAATGTCAAGATTTAACCGAGGCCTGTTGACTTCAGAACTCTGGGTTTTTATCAAATTGCCCCAGAGAATTGTAGGTTTTCTTTTTCCTAACCTAGGAAAAAAACATTAAATTCTATTAAAGGCCAGACTTAGTTTTGCTCTACTCTCTCATTTTCCAAAGTAAGAATTCTGGCTATAGTCATTTCAGAAAGGAACCACATAGTTTGTTGTATGTGATAATGTGTTTAAACACTTCATTGGCATTTTACAATAATTTATAGGAGTTTAAAATGCAGTGGTAATCTGTAAAATCACCATTTGATTTTCCTTGGTGCTTGAAAAGCCTGTGAGGTCAGGGACTATATATACCATTTTTCATCTTATTTTTGTCTTAGAATCATAGGTGCTTATGAATAAAATGTGTAGATTAGGTAGCACTCTAATAATATGAAGAGAATTATGACTCCCTCCTTTTTATTTCAAAATAATTGTGTCAGCTTCACAGGAAGATATGAAAATAAATGGGCTTTAACTCTGTCACAGGAGAGAGTAGGTTTTACTGAATCCTGATAACATAAAGTACTTTTCTTTCTACTTGAGCAAACTTAGATTTTTTTATAATAGCAAGCCAAGAGGCATAAATTTTTATAGGTGGATGTATGAATGAATGTGAGCATTTATTTGGTTTTTGTCTGTCCACGCATGTATTCAGTTCACATGTATTACAAGGTATAGTGTTGTCCTCACATCATCTGAAGATAGGTCTCTGTCTCACTCCATATGTGTTTGACTATATGATAAAGCCAAATATAACTTTTTATTAATTTTTTTAAAATTTATTTTTTTAATTTTTATTTTAATTGTTGTTCAAGTACAATTTTCTGTCTTTTACTCCCATCCCAGCCCACTCCCCAGTGCTCCCCACCTCCCTCCCATTTCCACTCCCCCCTAGCTTTTGTGCATGTGTCTTTTATATCTGTTTGTGTGAACCCTTCCCCTTTTCCCCTGAAATTCCCTCCCCTCTGCCCTCTGGTCACTGTCAGCCTGTTCTCTATTTCAGTGTCTTAGGTTATATTTTGATTGTTTGTTTTGTTGATTAGGTTCCTGTTAAAGGTGGGATTATATGGTATTTGTCTTTCACCACCTGACTTATTTCGCTTAACATAATGCTTTCCAGTTCCACCCATGCTGTCGCAAAGGGTATTAGTCTTGTTATATAATCAATTAGCCAATAACTATGTACTTGTTTCTTAACTGAAAATTGTATCCTTTGGGTCAATAATGGTCAGCAGTCATTATTTATTTCTCATTATTCTGTTTGGGTTCTCTGTACAGGTCAAGGATCTCAAAGATACATCACTGAATTCCTCCTACCTGGCCAGAAGCGATGCACCAATGACATGGCTAAAAGCAACTCTGTGGACCAGGACCACTCTCAGGACTCAGAGGATGAAATGATCTTTGCTGCAGAAAGCAATTGTGCCCTGCCTCAGGAAGGTGATGGAGAAGCAAGGGTGGGCTCATCAGGCTCTGCTCTGCCTGCAAGGAAACGCTGTCGGTCCCTTGAGGATGAGAGGAATCAAGCTATAGGGACCAGTCAGTGGGGTGGGGTTTCTAAGAAAACCCTACGGCATCGATTTTCCCTGTCCCGCTCAAAGGCCAGGGAAGCCAGGCAAGAAGTAGAGGGCACTTTGTCATGGCTCTCTGCAGAGTTGGAAGAATCCAGCCAAGAAGTAGAGGACATGGGTCCTGATCCCATCCCTGACTCTTACTATGGGCTTCTTGGGACCTTGCCCCGCCAAGAACCGCAGAACCACATCTGTAGCTTGCCCAGTGAAGTTCTAAGGCACATTTTTTCTTTCCTCCCTGTGGAAGATCTCTATTGGAATCTCTGCTTGGTGTGCCACCTCTGGAGGGAAATAATTAGTGATCCACTGGTATGTAAAGCACTTGGAGTTCTATGATGTTTTCTCTAAAAATACATAGATTAGCTTCCTTTAATGTATACTTCTGATCTTAGTGTTTAGTTTCCATTTGCTTCCAAATAAAATCCCAATTCCCTGGAAGCATGTAAGCCTTTCCATGTTTGTCCCACCTTATTATCTCAGCCTCTTTGCTCACTTTTTCTCAACACATCCCTGTGTTCTGTCCACAACAAATGATTTGTTGCATCCTAACCAAAGACTGCATATTGCTTTTCACATGTTGGTCTAATGCCCTGACCCATACGCCAATGTAAGGACTCCCTCATCCCCGTTGGCATCTTACCTCTTCTTCAGGGCTTTATTCTATGCCTTCCCATTTCACTCTCTCTTACTTGCACTACTGGAGCAATTTTTACCTGTTACAAACTTATCACATTCTGTATTTCACTTTAGAGAGCCTTCCTCCCCCCTTTAAATTATTAGTTCGTTGATAGAAGGCAGTTTGTCCTATAAATGTTTTCTGCATTTTCCATTGTGCCTCATGACATTTTACTTATAGGTGAATTATAAATGAGTATTATGTCATAGAACTCTCTTAATCCTTTTTATTTCTCTGATAGAAGTTGTAATGTCCACTTTCTGATTTCAGTTATTGAAATTTCTTTTCTTCTTTATCTACTGAAGGATTGTCAACTTTGTTGATCTTTTTTAAAAAAACCACTCTTAGTTTTATTGATTTTTAATATTTCTTCTATCCCTATTTTAATTGTATCTGCTTTACTTTTTATTATTTCCTTTTGTCTGCTAGCTTTGGGTTTAGTTTGCTCCTCTTTTTCTGGAACTATTTTTCTAGTTCCTTTGGGTATAAAGTTAGGTTGTTGATTTGTAATCTTCTTTTTTTTTGATTGTCAATGTTAATTTATTTTTATTTTGTTTTTTAGTTAAAATTTATTGCAGTGACAATGATAATAAAATCATACAGGTTTCAAGTGTACAATTCTGTGATACATCATCTGTACATTGCATTGTGTGCCCACCATCCAAAGTCAGATTTTCTTTTGTCAACATGTATTTGAACTTTCTTCTTTTTACTGTAAGTTTTAACAGCTATCAATTCTGTGATACATCATCTGTACATTGCATTGTGTGCCCACCATCCAAAGTCAGATTTTCTTTTGTCAACATGTATTTGAACTTTCTTCTTTTTACTGTAAGTTTTAACAGCTGTAACTTCTTCCTTAATACTGCTTTCATTTCATCCCATAACTTTTGGTATGCTGTGTTTTTGCTTTCATTTGTCTCAAGGTATTTTCTAATTCTTTGTGATTTCTTTTTTGACCCATTGATTGTTTTAAGAGTGTGTTGTTTCATTTTCACGTATTTGTGGGTTTTTAGGTTTTCTTTCTGCTATTGACTTCCAGTTTCATTCCACAGGGATTTAAAAAGATTCTTTCCATAATTTCAAGCCTTTAAAATTTGTTAAGACATGCTTTGTGGCCTAGCATGTGATCTATTTTGTAAATTGTTCCATGTGCACTTGAGAAGACTGTGTATTCTGCTGTTGTTGGGTGGAGTGTTCAACATAAGTCTGTTTGGTCCAATTAGCTTACTGTTGTTCAGGTTCTTTGTTTCCTAATTGCTCTTCTGACTGATTGTTTTGTCCATTCTTGAAAGTGGAATACTGAAGTCTCCATTGCTGTTATGTTGCTGCTTGTTTCTCGCTTCAATTCTGTCAGTGCTTGCTTCTGGGATTTAGGAACTCTGTTGTGGGTACATATGTGTTTATAATTGTTATATCTTCTTGGTGAATTGACCCTTTTATCATTATATAATCTCCTTCTTTGTCTCTTATAATAATTTCTGATTTAGTCTCTTTTGTCTGGTATTAGTATAGCCACAGCTTTCATATTATTTAATCTTTGTTGAAGCTGTGAGCCTTTGTGTCCCAATATTTCAACAGGGAAATTAAAGCACTATCTTTTGCCAGATTCTATACCAAGTTAGTGTTCAAACCCAAACCAAGACCTGGTTCTCCTAGTTTCCCACCAAAATTTGTGTACTGATTGTACCATACTTGCTCAGCTTTTAAATTGTTAGCTATAATTGCTTTTTTTAAAAAAAACAAACCTCACCTCTGGACATGTTTAGAGGAGAAGAGAGGGGGAGAGAGAGGGAAACATCGATGTGAAAGAGAAACATTGATCGGTTGCCTTGCATGTGTGCCCCAACCTGGGACTGAATCCACAACCTACGCATGTGCCCTGACTGAGAATCAAACCTACCACCTTTCGGTTTATGGGATGATGCTCCAATCAACTGAGCCACACTGGCCAGGGCTGTAATTGCTTTTTAATTGGTAGGAGAGTATCCCTATGTTTGTGGTCTAATCTGCTAATAGTCATTTCCTGCATGTTATTTTGGATTTTTCAACTATATAGTTCATTCCTTGGAAAAAGTTGTATCATCGATACCTGATGAATGAAGAGCAAGCCGTCAGCAAAGTAGATGGCATCCTGTTGAACTATGGTATTGAGAAAGAGTCAGACCTCTCTGTGCTGAACCTCATCCGGTGAGTTGTTTTTCTTCTGCAAGGAAGACAATTTCTGAAGTCCTTTCCCATATATTATCACTCATGACCATCTTTTTCATTGACTCCTCTGTGAATGTCTTACAGCTATACAGCCACCACTAAATGCTCCCCAAGTGTGGATCCTGGAAGGGCTCTGTGGAGTCTGAGGGATCATCTCCTCCTTCCTGAGGCAGAGGCATGTGTGCGTCAATACCTCCCTGACCTTTACGTTGCTGCTGCGGTATGTGAAGAAGCTGTGGAGAATTACTGGGGAGTTGACACATTTTTCTCATTTCTCAGTGTATTGGTGATGAAGTTTGGCTGAAGGTTGTTTCAGATTTATTTTTAAAATCTTTCTTTTATCTCTTTCAAAGCCTTAATCTTGTCGTTGGTCCCATTAGAGAAGTAAAAGGCCACATTGTAGATGCTTATATTTGGAAGAAATTTTTAAGAGAAGTTAGTCCAATGCCCCATGCTGTTGAGAAATCCTCAACAGAGGATGGTCATCAAACCTCTGAACACTTTGATTAATAAAGATTTCTTTACAGGACAGCCCATTCCATTGTCAACAATGTAGGGTGTGTGAGGACCAGAGAAATTCAGGGTCTTGCTATAGATGCATGTGAGTTAATGAGAAGGTAGAAATAGTCCTCAGTTTCCTGACTTGAGGCTCCTCATTTAGATCATGGATTTTCAAAACTTATTTTAGAAGCTATATGCAACCCCAGCCTGCAACCAATATACTGAGAAATTAATCCATGTGCATTTTTCCTTCTGTCTTCAGTGATTGTTGATGATGGTAGAGTGAGTTTTCTTTCACAGGATAATTGTCATGAAGGTACATGGAATGTACCTTTTTTGGAATGCATTTTTATTTTTATTTTTTTATTTTATTATTTTTATTGTTTATTCTATTATAGTTGTCTCAATTTTTTCCCTTTTGCCTCCTCCACCCAGCCCACCCCTTTAGCCCAGTCAATCCCCTCTCCATTGTCCATGTTCATGTGTCTTTCATCCATGTTCTTTGCCTAGTCCCTTCTCCTTCCTTCCACCATTCCCTCACCTCTCCTTTCCTCCTACAGCTATCATATTTCCATGTGCCTCATTCTATTTTTCTCATTAGTTAGTTTTGTTTATTATATTCCAGTTATAAGTGAGGTCATATGGCATTTCTCTTTCACTGCTTGGCTTATTTTCTTAGCATAATGTTCTCCAGGTTCATCCATGCTGTCACAAAAGGTAGGGCTTCCTTCTTTCTTTCTGTTGCATAGCATTCCATTGTGTAAATGTATCACAGTTTTTTAGTCTACTCATCTACTGATGGGCACTTAGGCTATTTCCAATGCTTGGCTATTATAAATTGTGCTGCTATGAACAGAAGGGTGCATAAGTTCTTTTGAATTGGTGTTTTAGGATTCTTAAGGTATATTCCCAGCAGTGGAACTTCTGGATCATGAGGAAGTTCCATTTTTAATTTTTTGAGGAAATTCCATACTATTTTCCACAGTGGCTATACCAGTCTGCATTCCCACCAGCCATACCCTAGGGTTCCCTTTTCTCCACATCCTTGCCAGCACTTATTGTTGATTCATTAGTGATAGCCATTGTGACAGGTGGCAGTATCTCATTGTGGTTTTAATTTACATTTCTCTGATGGCTAGTGATGTTAAGCATCTTTTCTTATGTCTATGGACCATCTGTATGTCCTCCTTAGAGAAGTGTCTACTCAGGTCCTTTGCCCATATTTTAAGTGGGTTATTTGTCTTCCTGGTGTTGGGTTGTATGAGTTCTTTATATATTTTGCAGATGAAATTGGAATGTATTTTTAAACAGGGAGATTTGTAAAGTTAAGATTGATAAAAATATATGTCCATTATTGACTATTTCCAGGTCAGTGAACATTTTCTTAGACATTACTAAATAGAGCATACTGTGTTTGTAATAATAACTTTTCAATAATTTATTTAATATTTATTTAAATTAATATTTAATAATTATTAAACAATAATAACAAAGTAAATTGTAAATTAATATTTTAATACCAGAGAATTGTCTGTCTTGCTTTCACCCCTGTGGCCTACTGTCTTCTTTTGTATCTCTCATCTTTTGTGCCTTGCAGGCAGACACACATTTAATAATGATCCTATTGTGATGCTGTTGAGTGTGTGTGGACCTGAGAACTCACACTAACCTGGAGAGGAGGGGTGGGGAGATGAGAGCATCATCTCTCGCAAAGTTCTATGTTAAATAGTTTATAAATGTTATTAAATTACACTAAGAACTTAAACCCAGAAGTGATTAGAAGAAAGGAATCCAGGGCAAAAGAAAGGGTTCCCATTGTTTCCCTCATATCATTTGGGAAGTTTGCACTCAGGTCAGGCAATATGTACCTGGCACCTGAACCCCAAACTTGGGTTTCCTCACTGATTGTCTGATGTGATATTTATTAATCGTGACCTGTATTTTTGGGTCTTTTCTCCCTTTCCTGATCCATCTCCCTCCAGGGTGTCAACGTGTGGGCTCTGGTAGCAGCCATTGTTCTCCTCTCCAACAGTGTAAATGACATCCAGCAGCTACTCTTCTGCCTCAGGAGGCCTAGCTCCACTGTGACAATGCCAGACATCACTGAGACTTTATACTGCATCGCTGTGCTTCTCTATGCCATGAGGGAGAAGGGAATTAACATCAGCAATAGGTAAAGTATTGGGAGGGAGGGTGGAGACTCTGACAGAGTGAAGGTCCTAGACTTGTGACAAGTCCCAGCTCCACCACTTTAACACTGGGCAAGCCATAAAAGTCACACTGCTCAGTTTCTTTATCTGCAAAATAAAGGAATTGTGAGATTTAAGTGGAGTGGCGCAGGTAACAGTGCTCTGCAAATATAAAGTGCTGTACAACTGTAAAAAGAATACCCTTACACGCAGTTACATGTAAGGGTATCAAAGCTCCAAGTGAGGTCTCCTCACTAAAAGATGCCTTCTTTAGTCATTTGTGGCTATATTTTCCTAGGAAAATGTTAGGATTTGGTTCCCCTATTTCTCACTTTTTTTGGGATATGATATAAAAATTGTGATTAAGTCTTGTCTGTTTATCATCTTAGTGTGAGAAAGGCTATAGCTAATGGGTTGCTAATTCTGACTGACCATCATGGTTTCACTCACCAGCAGATATTCACAGGTCGGTTTTGAGAGGGATGTGTACATTCAGCAGAATTTTGAACACCTATTACATGTCAGATAGGTTTCCAGGCACTAGCAATGCCTTTCATGTGGACTGTGTGTTCTAGTGAGGGGAGACAGATACTGCATAAGTAAATAATTTAAACAAGATTATTGTAATGAGTGATTAGTGGTGCAAAGGAAAGAACAGATGATGGTCAAGGGCAATGGGGAATAATGCTTTAGAACGGGTAAGAAAAGTTTCTCTGAGGAGGTAACATCTGAATTGAAACCTGAATGTCAGGAGGAACTGGCCATTTGAAGATTTGTGGGGAGAGCACTTTAGCAGAAGGCATAGATACTTTAAGGGCCCAAAGATGGGAATAAATTCAGTGTATACAAATAACAGAAGAAGCCTAGTGACAAGAATGTAGTGAATAAGAGGGAGACTGGTATATGATTATGAGAGGTCTACAGTGACCAGATAAAGGAAGTTGTAGATTGTATTAGCAGTTAGAATGAAATCCAAGGTATGAAGGGCAAATTCTAGGAGGCCCTGACCCCTGGCATGGAGACAGGCAGTGTGACAATGCAGCAGATCTTGGAGAAGGAGACATTACAGAGAGGATTTCCAGATTTCCTGTTCTGGAGTTAATGAGCCTTAGGAGGAGCTTCTGGAGGCACCAGGTGAGCTGTGGCCCAGCCATTCATGGTGAAATTTAAGTATGGAACATTTATTCTCCAGAAAAGAGTATTTGCTGTGTTTCTGAGATATATTTCAATTCATTAAATATAGTTTATGTTGTATCCCACTCCCTGGCATTGAGATGTGAGGCAAGGAGCTTTATGACACAATTAGGACTAGACAAATACAAAAATGATGAATAATGACCATAAGTACAAATAGTAACCTGTAAATAATCTGCATGTTTACATGGACATAGATGAAGAATGAGAGATATGATATGTTGTGTTTATATATTTTTTCCTGCTTTACCTGGGAGATAATCTTTTTTTTTTTTCATTTGTAGCAAGGATTACTATCAAACTCCAGTGGCTGGGCCAGAGCCCCTTGCAATGTTAGCAAAAACTTGCCCCTTATGTAGCACACTACCTCCACTCATGAGTTCCTCACCACCAGCGGCCTCTACTCTGAGCTCTAACAATGTGCAGTCCTGAGAAATAATCTTAGTATGACCAGAGACTGAAATGTTGTATTATTAAAAGTATTTGTTTCATCAACAAGATTGATGTGTGGAAATCATCTCTTCTCCCTTTGGGAATGGGGTGCAATGCCCTAAATGGTGGGCAAAGGGTGATAGAAGGATATGAGTTTGGGTTCATGTAAACACAGAGAGGTTTGGAGTGGCTTGTGATGGGACATGTTTAACCATGTCAGGTGCCTCTGTTGAGTGCACTGTGTCATCTTTGGTCTCTCTTGGTGACTTGCAGGCTGTCTTGTTTTCTAGTTCTTGGTAATCTTATCTTTAAAAAAAATTTGTTAGGGTGACAGTATTTAATAGGGTCATATAGGTTTCAAGTGTACATTTTTATGACATATAATTTGTATATTGCATTGTGTGCCCACCATCCAAAGTGATATCATCTTCTGTCAGCATATATCTGACCCCCTTCCTTTTACTACCCCTGACCCCTTCCTTCTGGTAACCACCATAGTGTTGTCTGTGTCTGTGAGTTTCAGTTTTATATCCCACATATGAGTAAAATCATATGGTTCTTAGCTTTTTCTGACTGACTTATTTTGCTTAGCATAATATTCTTGGGGTCCATCCATGTTGTCGCAAATGTTGTATTTCATCTTTTCTTATGGCTGAGTACTATTGCATTATATATATGTACCACATCTTCTTTATCCAGTCCTCTATCTAAGGGCACTTTGGTTATTTTCATATCTTGGCCACTTCGAATAACGTGCAGTGAACATAAGGGTGCACATATCTTTGCAAATAAATGTTTTTGAGTTTTCAGGTAGATACCCAGAAGAGGGGCTGCTGGGTCATAGATAACTCTATTCTTAATTTTTTGAGGAACCTCCATACTGTTTTCCATAGTGGCTGTACCCATTTACATTCCCAACAGCAATGAATGAGGGTTCCTTTTCCTCCACAGCCTCCCCAACATTTGTTATTACTTGTCTTGTCTAACAGCCATTCTAGCAGAAGTGAGGTGGTATCTCATTGTAGTTTTGATTTGCATTTCCCTATTAGCTAGTGAAGTTGGAAATCTTTTCATATATCTGATGGCTGTTTGTATGTCTTCTTGGGAGAAGTGTCTGTTCAGGTCCTCTGCCCACTTTTTTTAAATGAATTGTTTGTTTGATGTTGAATTGTGTGAGTTCATATATTTTGGATGGTAATCATGTCTTGTTACCCATGTAGCAAACTTTCTTTGGAACCTTAAAAGTAGGAATGTTCTTCATGCTTCTAAACCAATATTACCTCATGAGACTCAGGGAACAGAGCAGCAACGGAGGCTCGGAAAGATAAGATGACATTATGTTGATGCTGAACAAGAATCTCACCAGTAGGAACAGAAAATAGATTTTTTCAATTGGTTCATACTGCTCTTATAATTATTTGTCTCTTATGATCACAGCTAATGCCTTGTTTCCCCAAAGGGCATGCCCTGGTCTCTCTCCTTTTGTCATTGCACCTGGAGCTAGGTGTCTTTCCTAGAACTGTGCTCTCTGAGAGAGCTTTGGTGAGCTTTAGGTATACTTAAATTCTTTTCTTTCCTTTTTTTCATAAAATGGTGGTAGAGTTTTATTGATTTTGGGTTTTTTTTTTTTTTTTTTAAGAAACAGTAAAGAGTCTAAATATATCTGAGAAAAAATAAGATACAGATTGGGACTTAATTTGATAATCTCTAAATCTGCTTTTTCCCTGTTAGGATCCACTATAACATTTTCTATTGCCTGTATATTCAGGAGAATTCTGGCACTCAGGCCACAACAGTTAAAGAGGAAACGTCAGTTTGGCCAGGGTATGTACACAGATAAGTAAGTGTGTGTGTGTTGTCTTCCATTCTTGACTCTCATACTTAGGAGGAGAGGTGTTTTAACAACTTTATTGAGGTATAATTTACATTATGTAAAATTTATCATTGTAATTGTATAATTCAGAGATATTTATTAGTTTTACTAAGTGTGCAGTCAATATCATATTCCAGTTTTAGAACATTTTTATCACACTAAAGGGAGGTCTTGTTTTTGGTTAAATTTTGTTCATCTGATTTAGCTGTTTGCTTTTTGACAGTCCATTTCCTGGTCTTTTCAATTCCTTTGTATTTTTCTAATGTTTCTTCTGTAATGATTACAGCAAGAAAACAACCATCCAACTTACACATGAACAGCAACTGATTCTGAACCATAAGATGGAACCTCTCCAGGTGGTAAAAATTATGGCATTTGCAGGTAAGCGAACTCGCCAGTACTGGAATAGAGGGTCAGGGTCATGACTCATATCACTACACCCCGCTTCCCTGTTACCTTCCAGAGTATCTTTACTTTGATCTGTTGTTAAACTACTGCAATGAAATAATCATAAAAGCAGTTGCCAAGTAGATCTTGCTTTTTCTTACAACTCCAGGGAGCATCCACACTGGAGTTCCCTGTGAGACCAACAGTTCATAGGAGTTAGTTTGCTGGGTAGTTACCAAAGGGGTTGATCCAGCCTGTCATTTATCATTATATGTGCTCAGTCACTGATTGCTTATATACTGGCAGGTCGTGTTAATCTCTTCTCAGAGAGTTTTAGTAGCTCCTGATTTCTATCGGGTGAAGTCTAGAAGGCCTTTCCACCATTTGTTTCTAACCTACATTCCTAAATATATTGTGTACTGTTCTCCTGCTTCAGTCAGCTCATTGTCCTCACAGTCTCATAAAGTGTTGATTATTCTTTTGTCTGAAACTTAGCTCATTCTATTTTCTCTACCTGGAATTCCTTCCCTTTTTTTTCTACCTACATATCCTAGTAAAAACAACAACAGCCATTTCTTAAATGCCTGTCACATGTCTGAGAGAAATTAAAATGACTTGCCCCAGGTCCTGGCTGGTGTATCTCAGTTGATTGGGTGTTGTTCCATAAACAAAAAGGTCGCAGGTTCGATTCCTGGTGAAGGCACATGCCTGGGTGCAGGTTCCATCCTTGGGCAGGCACATGTGGGAGGCAACCAATCTATGTTTCTCTTTCACATCAATGTTTCCTCTTTCTCCCTCCCTTCCTTCTCTCTAAAATCAATAAGCATGTTCTGTGGTGAGGATTAAAAAAAAGAAAAATGACTTGTCCCAGGTTAAATAGCACAGTAAAGTGAAAAAGAACATGAATTTAGAAACAAAAAATTGTCACCAAAGAAGAAAAAATAGTACCGCTTTTTCAACCTTACAGGGTTGTTGAATATGAATGACACAGAGTGGAAATATTTATAAAATGTGCATTTTAGCTATTCTGCCCTGGCTAGCATGGCTCAGTGGATTGAGTCCTGGCCTGCAAACCAAAGGGTCGCCAGTTCAATTCCCAGTCATGGTACATGCCTGGTTCGTAGGCTGAGTCCCCGGTTGGGGGTGTACAAGAGACAATCACACATTGATGTTTCTCACCCTCTCTTTCTCTCTCCCTTTCCTTCTCTCTAAAAATAAATAAAATAAAATATTTTTTTAAAATGTGCATGTAGGCTATTCTTACTATATGGTTACTATATGCTTACTATATGATTATTCATACTATATAACCATATAGTAAGAATTATATAGTACATAATATAGTATATAATATATGAATTAAAATTCAAAGCTGGATTCAAAGTGTGATTTAAATTAGAATTCAAAGCTGGATTTGTTCCTCTCCAAAAACCTTTCCCCCTCTTCCTCTCCTTCTCTGTTTCCTCCCTTTCTCTCTTATTCTTTGCCCTACCATGGTGACTCTCGTCATTTCTGGTTTTCCCTGATGGAGGCTTCTTTAGTCATTTGAGTCCTACATGATCTCTGAACTCTTCCCTATAACTAATTATTCATATTAACTATTTGGTACCTGATTATATAGTAAGAATAGCCAACACACACATTTTATAAAATACTTCTACACTATGTCATTCATATTCAAAACAGCCCTGTAAGGTTGGAAAAGAGGTACTATTTTTCTTCTTTGACTGGTGAGAATTTTTTGTTTCCAAATTTATATTCTTTTTCACTTTATTGTGTTATCATCATACTCTCATTTTGTTCTAATTGTTTCAACTGTGTTGGTATTTTATTTTCAACTAGATTATAATGTAGGAACATTGCTTTATGTCTTTTAATATACTCCCAATACTTAACATACAGCTGAACATGTAGTATTACTCAATAAATATTTTTAAATGAATGAGAATTGAATAACTGAATGACTGGATGAATGATGGAGAGGTAGGGCAGACAGAGTTCAGAATGAATCTCATTTGCATGCCCTTGCCATCAAAGCGTTAATGAGCCGTAGGCCAGCCATAGCTACCATGTATTGAGTTCTTCTGTTGGGTACCTTGATGATTATCTTCATCCTGCCTGCCGCTACAAAGTCATTGTTACCCACTCATGACTGAGAAGCAAACTGAAGATTGTTGAGGCCAAGTAGCTTGCCCTTCATTCCTTGACTAAAACCTGACAGAGCCATAATCCCCACACAGGTTAACCTGGTTTAGAATCTATTTTTTTTTTCACTATACCATTGTTCATTTTTATCGGTATTGGAAAACTTGTCACAGTCTGGTCTCAAACAAGAGGCGAGATAAGCATGGATAAGCCCTGATAAAGGCATCCTTTGGAACAGTTTTTCCTGGTCAGAAGGTCACTTCGTTTCCTCTTGGCTTCCCCAGGCACTGGGAAGACCTCTACCCTGGTCAAGTATGCTGAGAAGTGGTCTGGGAGCAGGTTTCTTTATGTGACATTCAACAAGAGCATCGCAAAGCAGGCCGAGCGAGTCTTCCCCAGCAATGTCACCTGCAAAACCTTTCATTCCATGGCATATGGACACATTGGGCGGAAGTGAGCATTACATTGCCACCATTGTTATTATATCTAACCACTGTTTTTATGTTGTAATCCTCATGATCACATATGGACTTACACCACAATGACACTAAGAAAATTTAACCTTTTTGTCTCCATTTATAGGCAGGAAATATAGATTTAGCAATTTGTACTTTTACTCAATAAAAACACATTGTTTACAAATAATATCCAAAGGGGGAGCCAAACTCATTTCTCTGGAATTGAAGCACAGAAACTAAAAGACTTGTCTAGAGTTCAGGGTATCGGCAATCTGATTGGTCACTTCTAGGCTTCCTTGGAATGGGGCGAGAGGGAGAAAACTAAGCTGAGGTATACTTGCCCCAGGTCTCTCAAGGCCTCTGAACCAGCATTCCCTTAGATGTGAAAGTTTCAAGAAACTTTGAGTTTCTGCCCTTAGGGGCCTCTTGGGGAGTCTGTTTCACAACTTAGAATAGTAGTGTCTGCCATGACCCACTTCATCTTCTGAGTTACTGTATGCAAATTCCTGAAAGCTTAATGTGAAGCCATTTCAAATGATACATGGACCTGGCTCAACCTCTCTGGTTTTCTATTTTCCCTCATCTGTATGTGACACTGAGAGTGACCTTGTGGTGTCATTGTAGAGAAGGGGATTGGGAGTCAGGGGGCACATTTTATTAGCATTGTCAATAAGGCCAAATACTATTCATTTGGGGTATGTATTACAGGTACCAAACAAAGAAGAAATTGAATCTCTCCAAGTTAACACCCTTCATGGTCAATTCTGTCCTTGCTGAAGGGAAAGGTGGATTCATAAGAGCCAAGCTAGTGTGTAAGACTTTAGAAAACTTCTTCGCCTCGGCTGATGAAGAGCTGACTATTGATCATGTGCCTATTTGGTGTAAGGACAACCAGGGACAGAGAGTCATGGTTGAACAGAGTGAAAAACTGGTGAGTATTTAAATATCTTTAGAATAAGGGATCAGGGGTTAAATGAGAAGAGTTGATATGATACAGTGTTATGTTTGTCTTTCATTTCTTCATAAATGCTGGTAGAAGATAAAGGTAGAGGGGTGACTGTAGGTCAGTTATAGTTGTGGGTTGTAAAGCGTTTTCTGTGAAGAGTATTCATGGACAGCTCACTCCATATGGTCTTCCCATTCAGCAGTGAGGCACCTACCTAGGATTTATAAGAACTTTTCAATGGGGCTGCTAGACAAATCTAAAGATTAGGAATCTCTTCTAATTTTTAACAAGTTTTTTCAATCCTTTCCCATTCTTTTTATGAATTAATTATTAGTCATAAATCTAGAGAAATAATCTAGCCTTTTCTGGTCCATCAGATTTTGTGCTGTCTGAGCAATGTTCTGTCACTGGGCTGTTGTGAAGCCGGAAGGAAGTTAGGGAAGTGACTGCCACTCATCGAACTGTGATGGTGCCTTTATTCTGACCTCTGCTCTGTATGTGGAAACGAGAAGTGTGATTTCAGGGTGCTATCTTTTCCAGGGCCTTAAACTAGGAATTACCGATTACTTGTTTTCTAGAACAGTGTTCTTGAAGCAAGCCGCCTTTGGGATAACATGCAGAAGCTGGGGGAATGCAAAGAAGAGGCTTACCAAATGACTCATGATGGTATGCAAGTCCCCAAATCTCAATATCTGTTAGATGTAACTGCTTTAGTTATAAGTTCTGACTCTTGCTACTCCCCTTTTTTAGGCTACTTGAAACTTTGGCAGCTGAGCAAACCTTTGCTTGCCTCTTTTGATGCCATCTTTGTGGATGAGGCCCAGGACTGTACCCCAGGTGATAAACTATTCAGGACGTCAGTAGTCTCAAATACATAGAAACAACATCATGATTATATAAGAGGACATATGCATGAAATGAGTTGATCATTCTTATTTGTCCTAAAGAAGAGGAACAAATGATATTCAGTCACTCAGAAATCTCTTATTGACTTTGGATTTCAACAATTGTCCTTTTCCCCCACCCAAGGCAGATTAATTTTCCTCTAATGTTTTGCTCTGGGTTATTTTTAAATGTTGACTAAGCATAGGTCATCAGAGGGTAGGGACCTAGGCTCATGCCGAGTGGGAAGAGATTGTCAGTTTAGAGTGAACAATTTGTGTTATATATATTTCAGATGGCTAGTAGAAAATAGTGTGACTTTGTAGGTCATTTGGGGAGTTTAAGTTATAATATTAAGAGAGAAAAGACAATCTACTTCACTTTATATTTGCCTATGTGGTTTCTTATACACAAAAATTTGTCTAGGACTAAAAATAATCTACTTTCCTGGGATCAGAAACTGTTCTTTTGTCTGTTCTTAAATGATTTCTTTGGATTGACTATGCCTATACTGCAGGAAAACACAACTCTGTTAGACAGTGTGCCCTGGCTTAGTTTCACGAAACCATTTTTATCCTTTCTGTCTGAAATGTGGTTTCCTTTTGCCATGTGGGTTGGTACTCTTTTAGATCTCTTACTTTTTCCATCTTATTGGTTGCAGCAATCATGAATATAGTCCTGTCTCAGCCGTGTGGAAAGATCTTCGTAGGGGACCCACACCAGCAGATCTATACCTTCCGCGGTGCAGTCAACGCCCTGTTCACGGTCCCTCACACTCATGTCTTCTATCTCACACAGGTAAGAGTTCTCTTTGCTTCCAAGTCCCCAGCAGTACGTAAGTAAGCACTGTGGTTCTCCACCCTTGTTTTTCAGTGCTTACCATGTGCCAGGACCTGTGCAAGGTTTTGTATCAGATTCACAGTATGTAGCCAATCCTTGCTTCTAAGCAGTGGTTCTCTGGTTGTTAGGGGACCTCCAAAGTCAAAACAGTTTTCATAATAGTAATTTGCCCTTTTCACTGTGTTGACATTTGAACTGATAATGCAAAGCAGCGTGGGTGAAACTGCCCATGCCTTGCCATGAATGAAGGCATCCGCACGAAATGGTACCAGCAGTCATTGTGTTCTTTACTGCCATGCACTCATACGGGTTTAAAAACAAACAACAACAACAACAACACACACAGTTCACTTAAGAATGTGCTTTACATAGCAAAAATGATTAATTTTATTAACTCCTATTTCTTGAAGATGTCTCTTCAGTGTTCTGGGTGATGAAGTGGGAAGTATGAATAAAGTACTCCTGCATACCAAAGTATGTTGGTTTTCTAATGAAGAGCACTTTTGTAACTGAGGCGGGAGCTACACTGGCAGCTTTTTTTTCTTGTAATACCACTTGTCATTGAAAGAACAGCTGACAGACTTACGGTTATTCAGATTTGGGTTTTTAACATTTTCCCAAAAAGGAATGAAATGAGCTGTGACTCAAGGAAAACAACTTACAATTTTTTGTTGCCAAAGATAAAACCTTTACTTTCAAGTGAAATGAAAATTTTGGAAAACTTATGTCTGCCATTGTGAGCATGACAACTCATGGTGTCCTTGATTGTCTGGAAAGGTTATTAAACTTCCCCCCCCTTTTCTATATGCATGTGTGTAAGGCTGAATTTCCTTTATGTCGTTCAACTAAAACACCACAGCATCGCAGATAGAACACAGACAGAATGAGAACCCAGCTATCTTCTGTTCAGCTGGGCATTAAAGAGATTTGCAAAAATGTAAAAGAGTGACATTCTTCGTGCGAAATTTTTTTTGTTTTGGAAAATATGTTTTTTAAAAAATGTATTATTTATATTATTATGCAGTGGGTTTCTTATTGTCTTTTTATTATTTATTTATTTTTGTTGATTGATTTGAGAGAGAGAGAGAGAGAAACGTTGACTTATTGTTCCACCCATTTACTCATTGGTTGCTTCTTGTATGTGTCCTGATTGGGGATCAAACCCACAACCTTGGTGTATCAGAACAGTGCTCCAACCAAATGAGCTACCTGGCCAGAATCATTATTGTTATTTTTATTTATTTACTTTTTTTTAAGAGAGAGAGAGGAAAGGAGGGAGAAAGAGAGGAAGAGAAACATCAATTTGCAAGAGATATATTGATCAGTAGCCTCTTACATGCCCCCATGTGGGGACAAGGCCCACAACCCAGGCATATGCCCTGACTGGGAATTGAACCAGCGACCTTTTGGTTCACAGGCCAGTGTTCAATCCACTGAGTCACACCAGCCAAGGCTATTGTTGTTTTTAAATGAATCCAAGTTTCTAGTGATTACTATAGTTAGATATAACTCATGTAATTAAAACTCTTTTAGGGCCTCAGCAGTTTTTGGAAGTGTAAAGAGTACTGAGACCAAGAGGTTCAAGAAACACTGCTTTTAAGAAACTCTTTTCTAGTCAGAGGATATAAGATGTGCCAGCTATTCAAGTATAATCTGAACTATTTTGTTCTGTTATAGAAAGTTCTGTAACCTACTCTGATACTTTATTCCTTTGAGTTCCTGTTGTATCCTACAGTGATTTGGGGTAACATCAACTCAGAGTAACTTTTTTTAATAGGCTGTTTTTAGTTTCAGATTTACAGAAAAATTGAGAAAGTAGTACGGAAATTTCCCATATACCGTGCATTCAGTTTGCCCTATTATTAACATGGTAGTGTAATGGGTTTGCCACAGTTAATGAACTAGTATTGACACATGATTGTAAAGCCCTTTGTTTATTCAGATTTCCTTAGTTTTTATCTAATGTCCTTTTTTGTTCCGAGATCTTGTGAGGGTTACTGTATTACATGTAGTTGTCATGTCTTCATAGCCTCCTGTTGGCTGTGACAGTTTCTCAGACTTTCCTTGTTTTTGAAGATTGACACTTTTAGAGAGTATTGCTTAGGTGTTTTGTAGGATACCTATGTTAAAATTTGTCAACTGTTTTTCTTATGATCTTATGAGTGTTGAGGAGGAAGATCTCTCAGAACAAAAATTGTCATTAGCATCATAATATCGAGGGCACATACTATCATTTTTATCACATAATATTGAGGGAATATGATTTATGACTGTTGATATTGACCTTGATCATCTAGTGGAAGTAGTGTTTGTCAGGTTTCTCTACTGTGAACTTACTCTCCTTGCCTCTTGCCCTTTCCATACTATAATATATACTTTGGAAGGAAGTCACTATACTTAACCCTCACTCAAGGAATAAGTGTTGGAATGGCTACATAAATTATTTGTAATTCTTCTGCAAGGGAGATTTGTGTCTTCTTTCCCATTTATTTATTCAGTCATTTATTTATATCAGCACTGACTCACAGATACTTATTTTATGATTTGGGTTATGGTTTACTCAGAAAAGCTTTATAGCAACAAAGTACTATTTGTTGAAAGTCTCATTTTTCTTAGACTGTACTGTTAATGTTCACCAAAGCACATCATCCTTTATTACCTTAAATTAGAAATGCATGGAAAAGATAATGAATATCATGAGTTTGGGGAAGAATGATGTCTTTCCAACTGCAGTGGTCAAGGAATTAGGGTGTTAGGCAGAATTTTGAGGGGTAGGTAATTGTTTTGCCATGCACCAAGGCAGAGAGTGGGCAGGGAATGCTCAGGAAATTATTATATAATACTTGTGTATATGGTTATATAGGACAGTATTTTTAGAATAATGTAGAGATAATTTCAAAGGCAAGGAGAGAAGCCTTCCCTAATTTCCCTTAATCTTTTGTATAATTTAATACTTCTTAGATTTGATTTGGAAAGAAGGGTAGAGTTGCTTAGAAATGTTTGCTATTGGTTTTGGGAATAAAAGGAAATAGGTTGTTGAGGCTGTGATAAATCTTGAAAATGTATGCATCACTTTTTCCTCCTGTATTGCTCTTCCTTTTTGAGCAAATGCATGGCTTGAGGACAATGTGTGGGAAAGATTGATCTAACTGCCCTGGCTGGTGTGACTCAGTTGGTAGGGCATCTTCCCACAAACCAAAAGGTTGTGGGTTTGATTCCTGGTCAGGGCACATGCCTGGGTTGCAGGTTAGGTCCCCAGTCAGGGTACATGTGAGAGGCAATCAGTTGATGTTTCTCTGTCACATCTGTGTTTCTCTCCCTTTTTCTCCCCCCCTTCCCTCTCTGTCACTAATAAGCATGTTCCTGGTTGAGGATTAAAAAAAAGATTGATCTGACAGAGGTGTAGAGGTTTTTGGCAGTGGGAAGAAACTAGAGGGGAACAGACCAAGTAGGTGAGGCATGAAGTTTGAGTTTCTGAGCTGACCTAGCAGCAATGGTAAGAAAAATAGTCTAAAAAATTTGGTGGACAAATTGTCAAGATTTGGATTTGGGGACAAGAGGTAAAGAAAAATAGGTAACTCTAAGGTTTCAAGATAGAAAATGCTATTCTGAAAACTTAGAAATAAAGTCTTTGATTCTTTGTCAAGTTCCTATTCAGTACAAGTGAGTTCACAGTAGAGAATTTCCAAATATACTTTCCAGGTAAGATGAGTCAGGAAGGATTAGTTTGGCAAGGCCAGGACTTGGCAGTGATAGAAATATGCTAACATACTTCAGGGGGAGGTTGTTAACTCCTTTCATTTGCTGTTTTCCAACAGAGTTTTAGATTTGGTGTGGAAATAGCTTATGTGGGAGCTACTATCTTGGATGTCTGCAAGAGAGTACGGAAAAAGACTTTGGTTGGAGGAAACCATCAGAGTAAGGCTTTCAGTTACTTTTCTCTTATTTGTTACAAAAATTGGTTTTCCTCTTTATTTGGGTTTGCTGTAGAGTTTGTGCTCTCTCCCAAAAGGTGGCATTAGAGGTGATACAAAGGGGCAGGTGGCCCTGTTGTCCCGGACCAATGCCAATGTGTTTGATGAGGCTGTACGGGTGACTGATGGAGAAGTACCTGCAAAGATACATTTGATTGGGGTAAGAGTAAATTTCTCTTGACTGCTTCATGCACAGAAACATTTCAGACAAACATAGACAATGAAAACGTTTGATTTTAATTAGGATTATTATGCAAGCAAGCATTTGGGTTTTTGACAATTTTCACCATCTGCACCATGACTGAAGTCTTTCTCCCTGAACATTCTGATTATGCTAGCCAAGTCGGCTCCATTCTGTAAAGTCGGATCCAACAAGCACTTGAGGATCTTTTCTCTTACTCTTTAAAAAATAAAGCCCTTCTCATCTTTAACTATGCAAAATGAGGCCACGGGCTCTCTCTGAGTGTCCCAGTGTGTGTTGTTCATTAGTGTAAGAACCAGTGAGGGACAGCACAGCGGGACAGGCTAGCGGGCTCCAGTGAATAGAGTGTGTGTACCTGGTTCTAGCTCGGGTTCTGTCACTAACTTTGTGTGGCTTGTGGCAAGTCACAGCCTCTGTGTGCCTCATTCTCTCCATCTCTAAGATAAAGATAATGCCTTTCCTTTACCTGTTTCACGGGGAAATTAGGGATCAGTGACATGTATGTGACACTTTTGACTCTTTGAAGCCAAGATATGTAACTAAAAGATATTCACTCATTCATTTATGAAAAAGATATTTTCCATGTGTAGGCACTCAATAAATGTATCGAGTGAATTATAATCAAAAGATGTTCTGACTTCTCCTCTTTATTTATAAAGATTATATTAGGCAAGTTATAGGAAAAACTTCAGCATTAATCTCAGTATTTCATATCATTCTCTTTTTGCTAATTATTTCTCATTGTTCTTCTAGATGTTTATTTTTACATAATTATAATTATAGTGTACATTAAAAAGATGCTGTTTTAACTCAACACATAAGCATATTTTTGTTCATGTTGCCACCATAATGACTATAATATTTCATGCAGTGGGTATAGTATAATTTAGCCATTTTTGTTACTGTAAGAAAATAATACATACTTGGGGAACATCATTCATGCTGGGCATGATATAACATAAGTTGCTCTCTTCCCTTCACCTCATCACCTGTAGCATGGATCATTACACATGATCACATCTGATTTCCAATTATGTATACTGTCTTATTTTGGTCTCTGTTTTATGTTAATGTGTTATGTGTCCCTTCTCATAATTATGCTAAAGCCTTTGACATATGTTTCTTCTGTACTGGGACCTGGTGCCGTGCAAATGCTGGGCCCCAGCCAGTGCTCAGTACACACTTCCAGGTAGAATTGGGCTGAACTGTGGTACAGTCAGGCCCTCTCCTCCAGGACCTAATAACCTTTTAAAACACAATAATCTGGACCTATAGACATTCTGTAGTTCTTTTCTCAAAAGAAACAATGGTAAGTATTCATATTTCACTCTTTGTCTTTAGGTATCATTTAGGTATATTCTTCATTGCAACCTTTTGTATTCCTACAAGATAGATGATTTAAATTGCCCTTTTTTTATAAGAAAGAATGCAGCTGGTTTCTTGTCTTTTTTAAAATGTAGAAGGAGTTTGAGTAGCAGCTAAAACTTAGCATTTGGTAATCCTGAATTTCCAGGCTGCATTATAGCCTAGTGTTTTTATGCCCGATGAAGTTTCCTGCTTACTATTGCATTGCTCTGGATGCAATTTGAGATTCGTTTCCAAGAAAATATCTAATTTCCAAAACCACATCTCTACATGTGGTTTACTTTTGTTTTGTTAAGACAACAGCAAAAACAAAAAATGAAAAACAACCAAAAAACCTCAAAAATCCCACCAAAAAAACTTTTTCAGGGGATTAAATCATTTGGATTGGACAGAATCATTGATATTTGGATCCTTCTTCAGCCGGAGGAAGAACGGAAGAAACGTGAGTACCTTCCTGGCTGTGGTGCAGTGGATGGAAGCACTCCAGTGATGAGGGATGGGAGAAGGATGGGCATGTTCTAAGTCAGAGTTTTTTAATTCTGGAGAAGGGTGGAGCTTGTATTGCTCTTTTCCCCATCAAGACTGGGATGCCTGAGGCCTTCTGTTTTCAGAGGTACTGATAGCCTTTTCCAGATCCTTCTTTTAGGAGTCTAATTTTTTTTCTATTGTTGGCCCCTTAGGCTGTTTTCCCTCATCATCTTTTCTGTCTGCCTGGGCAACTTTACACGTGAAAACTTCTGCATGTGCCCCAAATAATCATTGCTAACATTTGTATAGCACTTTTCTTTTCATTACTGTGCTATTTCAAATCCCTGTGAAGTAGGTAAGGATCTCAAAGGTAGGGCTCTTGATCCTCAGTTTGGAGACGGAGAGGCTAAAGCACAGGTCATTTCACTGACTTGCCCAGGAACACACAGTTGGTTAGTGATGTAGTCGTGACTAGAACCTGGATCTCCCAATCTTAAGACCATTCACTTATGCTATTAGGAACGTATAGGTTAGGAACGTGTAGCTGCTGCCACCGTATGTCAGTGTAGCCTGTATCACATTAACTTGTGTTTGTATTTTCCATAGGAAACCTCATTATTAAAGACAGATTTATTAGAAGATGGGTGCACAAAGAAGGCTTTAGTGGCTTCAAGAGGTATGTGACCACAGCCGAGGATAAGGAGCTTGAAGCAAAGATTGCTGTTGTTGAAAAGTATAACATCAGGATTCCAGAACTGGTGGAAAGGATAGCAAAATGCCACATAGAAGACTTGGACTTCGCAGGTGAGGAAAAAGTTCTTCACTTCTCACCAGGAGAAGGAACAGATGGTCTTCTGATGCTTCTTGCCTATATGAATATCCTGTGTAATCAAGGGCAACTTTGTTGCATTCCTGGCATTGCCTAAGAATAGGGAGCAGAGCTGCCATTCTTTCTTAGGGGTCCTTTGCTTCTGCTCTACCTCCAAGCTGGTAGAATGGGACTTCCGGGTGCCAACTCTGTTGCCGTTTGACTTTGGGCAAAACATTCACTCCTTTTCTGGGCCTCTGTCCCTTTGTGTGTGAAGCATAGGAGGTGGGCAGGTCACTGTGAGCTCTGGAAGGTGGTTCTGAGATGCATTAACTGACCTGCAATGACTTTTCTACTTTTCCCTTCATCTTTTTATTTTTCTCTTTTTTTCTTTCTGGCTGTATTTTCCTCTCTCCTCCTTTTCCCACAAAGCAACACACAAGTGGGAAAATGAAGTTAGAGTCTTAAGGGTACAGTAGGAAGAGTACATTTTTTGCCTCTTTTGTTTCTCTTCCTGTCTCTGCCCCATCTAATGCTATGCTGTGTTTTTATTCCAGAGTACATTTTGGGTACTGTGCACAAAGCCAAAGGCTTGGAGTTTGATACCGTTCATGTTTTGGATGATTTTGTGAAAGTGCCTTGTGCCAGGCACAACCTTGCCCAGCTGCCCCACTTTAGAGTTGGTAAGACTGGTTGCACTGAAGATCCTCTGTAAGAGTTGACTAGAGATGCTTCCTTAGGATGACTTCCTTTTTGTTGGGTTGTGTAGCCTCTTGGAAGGATTCTCCTAGAAGGAAAAAAAAGCACCTCCCAGTCTTAAATTTGTTATTCATATACTACATTTTTAGAAACTGTACTTCCAGAGCCCACCTCTTTTGGTGCTGCCTCTAGGGCACTTCGGTTTATAGTGTCCCTTAGTTTAGATTGCATCAATTCTTCAACTTTCGGTTTTCACCATCAGACTCGTAAAAGCCTTAAAACGTACAGCTTACCTGCCCACCAAGGTGTTTTTTTTTTCTTTAACTAACTCTCCTTTGTATTAAAGAGGTCATAAAATCATAAAATCATAAAAGCTCTCTGTTATTTGTCTACTTTTGTATAAATTTATACTCATGGCTAGTAATTAAACTGTAAGCATAAGTGCTATTGCTTTAATTTTAAATTTTAGAATAAAATCATTTGAAGTTTCCCTACTAACAAACAAACAAAAGCTCTCACATAACTGTGGATTCAAAATTTGGGGCATAGCATACATTGGTGGGCTAAAATAAAAATACTAAAACCTCCTTATACTGATGAATATATTCATAAAATTAAGAGAAAGGAATGGTATTGAACATAAATTAAAGTGGGGTGTGGAAAAATGGCTGTAGAGAGTTATCAGTTGCTTTATATTGGGGAAGAGAAATTTATTTAATGTACTACTACCTTTTTTCCCCTCTGCTGATCATTACACATTTATATATGGACAGCTCTTTGAGATACCATCCATTGGCATTCATTGATTTAAAGTATACAGTTTAATGGCTTTTAGTGCATTCACAGATTAACTGCTCTTTAATGAATTTTTACCATTGTGCTAAGTATTATAAATGAGAGAATTGAGGTGTACGGTAGGCAATAAAGACTTGTAAGCTGTTTCTCTCCTCTGCTTGTCCTGTAACAACATAAGGCATTTCCCCATTGGCCCAAGTAAGAAAGTGTCAGGAAAAGGAAAGAAGTTGGGTTTTAGAGACTTGGGTTAAACTCCTGGACCTTTGACTAGCCAGGGCCTATTTATCCAAATGCTTTACCCTCCTTAAGCCTCAGTTTCCCTATCAGTCCCGCAGGTCATACAGGAAACTGGGAGAATGAATAGAAAATATACACTGGGGTCATCATAGGTATCGACTAACCAGTGAACCAATTCCCAGGATTTACCAGTAATAGCACTAACTGAAACTCAGCATTTTGTGCCACTAGTCTTTAGGTTTTTTTTTATGTTTGGAGTTGGTGTTTATAGGAAAATTTTGTATATATAGCCAGCAAATCTTGAGTGGGTTTTTTTTTTCTTTTTTGGCAGGGCTGGGTGAGGGGTAGTTAACATTTAGATGAGAACATAAATTTTTGTGAGCAGGCTTTTGAGTTGATATATTTCTCCCCTTTACCTTATTTTTAGAGTCATTTTCTGAGGATGAATGGAATTTACTGTATGTTGCAGTAACTCGTGCCAAGAAGCAGCTCATCATGACCAAATCATTGGAGAACATCTTGACTTTGGCTGGGGTAAGAGGAACTGGTAGCACAAATTAGCTTACCACATTTGGATTTTATTGGGTTTGAATAAGGGATCAACCTACCCTGGGTTGGAAGAGAAGGGCTTCTCTTTCTTGAGTGCACAGAGGCCTACTGCTAGTGCAGGAGGCGTCTTAACTAAAGAAACAGAAATGTGGGTTCTCTTTTAAATTCTTTCCTAGTTCAGTTTCAAAAGTTCTTTTAGCCCTGGTCTGGGGGCTCAGTTGATTGGAGCATTGTCCCATATACCAGAAGGTTGTGGGTTCAATCCCCAGTCAAGGCACATACCTAGGTTGTAGGTTCGATCCCCAGTCGAGGCATGTATGGGAGGCAACCAATCAATGTTTCTCTCTCCCCGCCCCACTCCCCTCTCTAAAAGTCAGTAAATGTATCCTCAAGTGAGGATTTTTTTTAAGTTCTTTTAAAAAATATCAACTATGTTCATGTATTTTTAAATTTCTCCCTTACTCAATTAGTGCTCAACATTCCTAGGGGGCGCGGGGAAACAGCAAGAATGTTTTCTGCACTTGAACCTTCTCCCTCTTACTCCCTAGTTTCTCTTGAACTGGCAACTGCTGTTGCCACCAGTAGAATTCTCCAAAAAGAACATGTCCTTGCCCGGGAGAATGAGTATTCCTGCATCTGGCCTCTTGTCCTGAGTGAGATGCAGGAAAGTATCAGCACTCACCCTTTACCCTGGCAAACCAGCCTTCTCCCACACTCTCCCATTTCTACTGCCTTTCTGCCTGCGATGGGCTGGGGTATAAGCCAACTTTACAACCCTGCTGGAAATTAGAATGGAAATTTGAGCTAACAGTTACTGCTTAGTCCATCTTTCCCTTAACCATAGATACTTAAGCCTGAGATCGAAAACTTAAATATAGAAGTTATTAAAAAATTCTCCTTCATCCTTACCTATTTCCAAAACATGTAAAATTTTTTACTGCAGGATGATTTAGTCCCAGTGCTATATTTCATGTTCTCTCAAGGAGCGGAGAATACGTGGAGCTGTAGAATCTAAGCATTGCTACCAGTGGCTTGGAACCTCTGGATGGGTTGGAGGTGTGGGACAGTAATCATTTTTAATAAATGATATTCACAGTCTCAAATTTGTTAAGTGGTGGTAAAACAGAACCCCGACCCTCAGACTTGAGTATCTATTGAGTGCCTAATATGTGCCAAGCACATTTCTAGGCACTGGAGCTACAGTGGTGGGCAAGGGAAATTCCTGCCCTCACAGAGCCTGTATTGTAGGTGAAAAGATAGTAGACAAGTAAGCAAACAGGGCTTCTCTTCACATTTTGAGGAGGAGAATATCAGCTTAAAAGGGAGAACTTTGCAGGTAAATACTCTATATGACCAGTCAGAACAGCAAAAACTTCTTGCCTAAGACTGATTACCTTGCATTTTTATTGAACTTTGTTCTTTCAAGCCTCCTTCTCACATTTTCCCCATACCTCTCTTGAGTCAAGCCTACTTGGCCATAAGAATGTTTCCGGAATTTGAAATCAGCTGCATGTTCTCCCAAGCAGTTTTGCTTCACCTGGGCCTCACCTTGTGTGACATCTCACCTTGTGTGGCAGCTCACATGGCAAAGCTTCTACTGAAGACTTTTTGCTTGGTTGGATCCTCAGTGGCACCTGGGTCACCATTGCAGATGAGTTAGAGCAGAGCTCTGTGAACTTTTCTGTTAAGATCCAGACAGTAAATATGCTTGGCTTTGCAGGTTATGTTATCTCTGTTGCATCTACTCAGCTCTGTTGTTGTAGTAAGAGAGCATCCACAGGAATTCATTAATAAATGAGTGCAGTTGTGTCCTAATAAAACTTTATTTACAACAGGTGCTAGTCTGGATTTGGCCCCCAAGTTGTAGTTTGCTGACTTCTGGTCAGCAATGGTCTAACCTCTGGTTAGAGATAAATGTGGCTTTTCCCAATTTTAGGGAGTGCAATAGAATAATAATTATTATGTGCAAATAATCTATACCTATCACATAACTTTTTATATAAACTTTGATCTTGAGTATACCTGCAGTATGCTTTTCTCATAGAAATAGTGTTACATTAGTGGTTAGATCTATAAAAAAAAACAAATTGTCATGTTCGTAATTTTTCAGATTTTATTTATTTATTTTTAGAGAGAGGGGAGGGAGGAAGAGAGGGCAAGAAACCAGTGTGTGGTTGCCTCTCTCACGCCCCCTACTGGGAACCTAACCTGCAACCCAGGTTAGGTTGTGCCCTGACTGGGAATCAAACCAGCGACCCTTTGGTTTGCAGGCTGGCACTCAATCCACTGAGCCACACCAGCCAGGGCTCATGTTGGTAACTTTTAATGGAGGTATTGTAGAGCAGTAATATCATTTCACAACATAGGTTAAGTAGAATTTTCCTTTAACTTGAGACATTTAAAAGTTGAGAAAATGATATATTAAATTACCATATACAAATTATCTCTGTATATATTTGGAGTATGCATCTCTAAAAAAATGAGCCATCTTTTTTCATAGCCAAAGAACCATTATCATCTTATAAAACTTATAATAGTTTCATGTAGCCTCTACTGCTCAATGCATAATCATCCATTTTGTTGTTAGGTCTCTTAAGTTTCTAACTATAGAGTGGTCAAGACCCCCTTCCTCCTTTTTAATGCTTCTGAGTTTTTGCAGAAACTGAGTTCGTTTTCTTACATAATGTTTCACATTCTAGATTTGCTTCTTTTTGTAGTTATATAGCTTATTTTACTATTACCTACTTTGGATTCCCTCTAACTGGAAGTTGAGGCTTAATTAGATTCAGGCTTAACTCTTCTGGCAGGAGTCCTTTATTTGGGGGTTCTAGAGGGGTTTTGCTTTGTATTGCCTAACATCAGAAGACAGTGATATCAGGTGATCTCCCTTTCAGCGATGCTAAGATCATTCAACTTTTTAGTAGACAGAACTTGGAAATCCATATTTTTGAAAAGAAAGAAATGTCAAGCATTCATACTGATAATTCCAACTTTTTGTTTAAACTCTTTGTGGTTCAATATAACACAAATGGAGAAAACAGATGTGCACTTTGCAGTTCAGATGATTGACTGTTTCCCCCAGGTCAGGAGGCTGGATTTGCCACCAGTCCCAGCTGCCCCCCAGGGAGCCTCGCACAATCAGCACCCTACCCAGCCCTCTTGAGAGTAGTACCATCCTAGCTTTCACCATGAGGACTTTTTTTTACTTTTTCTCATAGTTTCTTCCCAAGTGTGCACCACCAACAATATGAGTAAGAAAAAGATTTGGGCACACGCCGTCTTCATCCTTTCATTATTGTAAGGCTGCACTGTGTCTGTATCGTCAGATCCAGAAACCATTTTTTACATTAGAACTCTTAAATCGATTATAGTTGTACAATCCAAGTCAGATGAGCATTAAGGGATTTTTACTTCTTTTACATTTGAAGCTTTTCTCTTACCCTGAAAATCTTGGTTCTAAACAGTATTTATTAATTGCTTATTTATACTATTCTACTGTATATAAGATATTTTTAAATAATAGCAATATTACTGAATGCTGAATGGAATTTATGATTTCCTAACAGCCCCATTTCTCCAAATTCCACTAAAGATGTATAGTCAGAATATCATATTCTTTTTAAAATTTTTTGTTTATTTATTTTTAGAGAGAAGGGAGGGAGGGAGAGAAACATCAATGTATAAGAGGAACATCGACTGGTTGCCTTTTGCATGCCCCCAACTGGGGACCTGGCATGTGATCCAGGCGTGTGCCCTGACTGGGAATCAAACCAGGGACCTTTCAGTTCACAGGCCAGCACTCAGTCCACTGAGCCACACCAGCCAGGGCAGAATATCATATCTGAAGGCAATTGAAATAAGTCTTTTTACCCCTGTAGTTTGAGCATCAATTTAATTACAGTTAGATATACATTTGTTTGTTTATAATCCCTATAGGAATTGGTGGCTTCTTTTTGACTTAATGATCTGTTTTGAATGAGTGGGACATTTATGTTTTCAACATCAAAATTTGTAACAGATACATCAGAGAAGTCTCATTCCATCCCTGTCCCCTTCAGATTTTTTCTCCCTCTGTCATTAATAGCTTATTTTTAAACTAGTTTTTGATCTATTCTTTACGGGGTTTTTTTTGTAAAAATGTATATATTTTTATATTCTCCTTTTTCACAAAAGGTATCATTCTATTTATAGTGCTCTATATCTCACTTTGTCACCGAGAAATATGCATGGAAATCACTGTCAGTCTGTGAAGTTCTTCCTCATTCTTTGTACAGCTGAGTAGTAGTCGCTGTGTTGACACATCATGATTCATGCAGTCTCACACTGACGGGTACTGGGTTCTTTCTGATGTTTTGCTTTAATAATAATGCCACAATGCAGTCATTTTCTATTCTTGCTTGTGCATTTTGGGGAATACATTTCTAGAATCTAAATTTCTGGGCAAAAGATAAATAGTTGTATGATTTTTCTGGATATTGCCAAATCCTTCACAGAGATTGTATGCCTTAGAGTCCCACCAATTTATGTATAAGAATCAAATAGGCTTTTTAAAGCTAACTGGAAGCTTATCAATTGGGTACTGCATACATTCTTGGAGGGAAGCGAGTTTTCTTCATAAAGAGTATGGACTCTAGAGAGAGACTTACCCCTTATGAGTTGAAGTTGGGAAACATCTGTTGGCTCCCAGGGTGCTCTGTGGAACCCCCTGATACATGGCCCATTTTGTGAAGATGTTTGTAAGTCTCAGAGACCTTGGGTGAGGTATGAGTACTTCTGTTTTTTCTTTATCATAGCTTATGAATCAATTTGGGGACATCCTGTTTCAGAAGTGGCTAAGTACACCTTCTGCTCAGAGAGGAAGACTATAGGGGATCTCAAAGGCTCTGACAGAGGGGAGGAGGGTTAATAATTTAGAGAATATGAAAGCGTGTTGTAAACAGTATAGTCATACATGGTGAGGTTTTAGAACAAAAGTGAGCCATTGTTTCCCACTACATAGAGTGATAAATCATTTGGTCTCCCCTGTAACCAAGAGTAGGGCAGCCAGTCTACTTTTTCTCTGACATTCTTAGAGAATCTAGCTAATCACCAGGAACCTATTTATTTGTCCTTTGCTTATTTTAGTTTTTGAGGAAATGAAGGGAATCACTACACTAACGAATTGTAAAGTGACATGTAGTTATGCTAGTTGCTCATAAATAGCTTCTTAGCCTCCTAGCATCTTAGATCCTTAATCCAAATCTCACAGGCATATCCCTACAGTAGTGCCTGGTTGGTGCTCAGTTGAATGGTTGAAAGCAGCATCCCCTCGCGTTCTGAGGCTGAACATAATCAGGCCTCAGACCAGACTGCCTCCATTCACATCCCAGTTTTTCCAGCTGGACACTTGGTGACTTTGGGTGAGCTGCTTATCGCTCTGTACTTCTGTTGACTGTACCTCTGAGGAGGGAGGTGAAGGGCCACATGGAACTGGTGAAATAATTGTTCTACAGTCAATTGGGGAAAGCACAGGGGACACTCAAAGGTGGTTAGTTGTCTTTGAGACACTGAGCCCCAGCAGTGAAGCATCAAGGGGAGAACTGGCATTTTCAGCAGAGCTGTGTGGTCATGGCATGCATGTGCTCATTTATTCAGCAGTAATTCTGAGCACTTTCTACACGATAGAAGTGCTGTTGAGTCAGTTTAGCTTTGTATCTGGAGATGATAAGAGAGATGGAGAGACTCTCTGTTGCTTGGTGATTAAAAGCACAGGCTCTGGACTTAGGCACACCCAGGCCTGATCCTCACATCTGCCACAGTCTAGTTCTGTGATCTTTTGCCCAAGTCACCTAATTTCTTGGCTCTCGTGCCCTCATATGTGCAATGGGGATGAGGACAATATCACCCCCAAGAAATCATTGGTGAGGATTATATGTACAGTGCTTTATAAGCAAAGAACCTGACTGCTAGTAGGGAAGCGAGGCATTTAAAAACAAAACAGCCTGGCATGGTTTAAGGAGGGAGGTGTAGGTGGTGGCATCATGTGCCTTTGGATTCCTGAAGGCCAGGGGTTCCAGTGAAGCTTTTCACCTGTGATTGTGTTTGCAACAGTTGGCAGCAGTCCCTCTGCCAGTGTGTAACATGATTTGATGTATGCCCTTCGCAGTTCTTTGAGTGATGGTGTTTCCCAACAGTTACTGGTCTTCATACTTGTGAAAGCACTGGGCACCCAAGATGTCACTAAAGAATGTGGATGACTTGATTAGTTGATTTACCTATTCATTTAATTGACAAATATTAATTTATAGAGCCCTGTTCTCACTGTAGTTAGCACTAAGAGGTTTTGGTAACAAAACAAGGTGCTTTGTGATCTCATGGAACTTATAGTCTAGGAAGGAAGCCATAAGGCAGTTTCAGATCTAGCAGCAAGATTTTGGGAGTTGGAATGTTTCCAGTTCCTTAGCTATTAAGAGCTTCCAAGTAGCAGAGGTATTGCTATTGTTCTCTTTCTCACTCTTTTCTTTCCAGGAGTACTTCTTGCAAGCAGAGCTGACGAGTAATGTTTTAAAAACAGGAGTGGTTCGCTGCTGTGTGGGGCAGTGCAACAACACTATCCCAGTGGACACTGTGCTCACCATGAAGAAGCTCCCCATCACTTATGTATGTGGTCTTGGATGCAGCTCTGGTTTTCTGTAGAATTTAATCTAGTCATTTGTGTTTTATTGCATGTGTGCTGTCTAGACTGTGGGTGAGGGAGGTAAAAAGAAATTGATATAATCTTTCTCGAGGGCTTTTCATATATAAGGCACAAGAGATGCCGGATCTACCTCTGTATCAGAGATGATGATAACAAATTAGTATGGGTAGCACAGGCTGAGAGGTTGGATTGTGACTGACACTCTGAGGAGAACTACTTACCTGGTGAACTTGTTCTTGTCTCCTCGTCCCCTGCCTTAATAATTCCGTTTTCTGCTGTAAGGGAAATTGATAGAGTTGAATCTACCCTAGATGACCATGCAGTGGGAAGTACAGTAGTGCCTCGGTACTCGTCGTTCATTCATTCCAGAACTTGTGACAAGTGCTGAAACTGACAAGTAGTACTGAGCAAGCGACAAGTGATGAAGCCCTTTCTCTTGTGGGGCAGTGTTGTGACTCATCCAGGTTCTAGCAAGTGAGATGAGTCTCTAGCAAGCGCCAAGTGCTGAAACATTTTTTTCTTGTTAAAATGTGACGAGTACAGGGTTTGGTGAGTTCCGAAGCTAATAAGTGCCAAGGTATGACTGTATTACCTAAGGGTTTTGCGCAAGTCTGAAAATATCAGAATCATAACACAAAGTTCCTTGGCAGTGCGACAGCAATTCAGCACTTCTTGGTGGAAAATGCTTGTTTTTTGATTGTTTCTTTTCCCTCTTTTCCTTATCCCTCACTACAGAGCAACAGAAAGGAAAACAAAGGTGGCCACCTCTGCCACTCCTGTGCAGAACAACGCATCGGGCCTTTGGCCTTCTTGACTGCCTCCCCTGAGCAGGTGCACTCCATGGAACGCACCATTGAGAATATAGTGCTTCCCAGGCATGAAGCTCTGCTTTTCCTTGTCTTCTGAAAGCCAGGAGGAGCATTCTCCATGGTACAGATTGCCTTGTGTAGACTTCAGTTACTTGAAGAAAGCCAGTAGGTAGGGTTCTCATTTGCCTGAGACTCTAAATTCACTCACAGAACATTTTTGGGGAAGATGAAGCCAACCAGAGTTGGACCTGCCATTTCTCCATTCCTTAGAGGTTGCCGGTTTCCACTGCCCCTCCTCCATGCACACAGGCTGGGGACAATCGGGAAGTTCTTTTGATAAAAAAAAAATAAGAATACAACATTTTATGTATTTAAACTTTTATTACAAGGTTTCAATTAAACAAGCATTGTAGAACTGACATACCAGTGTGTGACACCTGCCTTCAGCCCTGCTGTTTTGAGCTTTTTCCAGTTCTCTTTTTTTCACTCACTCTTTTTAACAGCTTGGTCACTATTCACACAACACACCAAGCAGAATGTGAGACTTAATATCCAGGGTGACAATTGCTGCTTCAAAAATGAGATTTACATGCCGGGGAGACTCACACATGTATGACATAATGCACACTTTTGTCATCATGGAGTTCACATTCTAAACGAGGAGGCAACATCATACAGAAAAAAACAACCACAAAGTGACAATAGCAAGACTTCTTGTGTTTCCAGAAGTAGAACTAAAGATCAGAAATACCTGAGAGGGAGTGGGTGAAAGGGGTCAAAGGTAAAGAGATAAATAAATAAATAAATAAATACAGGCATTACTGAGCAATACCAGAAAGTAGCTTACTATTATCTAGTAATTTGTAACCAAAAGAAAAAAATACTTTAGAGGGAAGTGGAGTTAGCCAGCCAAGGGCTTGGGGGTGGAGGAATGGGAACAGGTAGAGATGGAAAGTTGGTGCCTGGATGGCTGCCTGGGGATTTGGGGTGGTTTTAATAAAGCTATTGTGATAGAAACCAGTGAAAAAATCACATTGCTTAGATGTACACAGATTTAGTATTTTTACATTTTTGCCATATAACACTTCAGGGATGTAGATGGCAGGTGAGGGGGTAGGCATGCCATTGCCCAAAGAGTTCACCACATCTGGTGTCTGAGCCAGTTGAGTGGCGTCTGACAGCATCCTCAGAGCTTCGGTTGTTGCAGCCTCCCTTTGACCTCTCCTACCTTTGGGCTCTAGTGGAGCTTAGAGAGTGGGCGGTGAGTACAGCAAGGATGATGTTGGATTGGGCCAGGGGTGTTTGGAAAGGGTGAGTGCCAAGTCAATGTTTGCATATTGAGGAAAATTCACAGAATTGAACTTGAAGACAAATTTAATGAGGAAGAGGTTTCATCAACTTGGCTGATATTCCTGGCCTAGCTTCATTTGATGCTTATGGATAACTTGGAATAAAAGAGCAGGTAAAAGGAAGTTATTTGAATTTAGATTGGTCACAGTATTCAGTGTTGTTCAAAAGAGTGGTTGGGAGGAAAGGTGGCAAGGGATGGCGCATTAACATGTTTCATAGAAATGTAGTTTTGCCAATCAGAGAGGAAGCAACTTACATCTATTGGAAGACAACTCATTAACTCAGCAAAACTTCACTGAGCACCTGTGGTGTGTCAGGAGCCATATGAGTGGGTATATGGAATCAAAATGTGGTCCCTGACTTAAGGAGGTTGCAGTCAGTGTACCTGCAGTTCGAGCTGAAAGTGTTTGGAGAAAGGGTTGCATAAGTGCTCTGGGGATGGGAGTCCAGGGCCAAAGGCTGCCACGAAGTGGGTGGTGCTGCAGCTGTGTTAAATAATAGCCATTAAAGAATGGAAGAATGTTCTGGGAAGAAGGAGCAATATGAAGGGCACAAAGGATGTGTGTGGTAATAGCCCTACAAGAGCAAAATGTCAGTCAGTACTAGTATTTTGGAACTTATTTTGGAAAGTAACAGAATCTAGGAATTAGTACTGGTATTTCATTTTTAAAGAATTTTTTAAAAATCAGTACAACTAAATATTTGGTATGTTTCAAACAGAAAAGCATTTTTAAATACATAGTGAAGTATGAACTTTTAAAGTAAATTAAATGCCTGTTATCATTTTAATATAAGTAATTAGATGAGAATAAAAACATAATAAAAAATAAACTTTTAACTACATAAAAATGAAAATATGTTAGATCTTCTAAAAAGTATAGTCTTTAAAATAAGAGGCTCCCATGATTTCATGTTGTGAATATACAGGGGTAGGCAAAAGTAGGTTTATCATTGTTCATATAGAAAAAGACATGAAAGTTGTGATTATTATAGTAGCTTTATTAACTCTGTTTTGACTAACAACTGTAAACCTACTTTTGCCTACCCCTGTATTTTTGTGCAAGATTTTCTGTAGAATTTTTTTTTAAACCAGTGATTGAGAGAATGAATATAAGGAAAATAATTATAAGCTAGTTCCCAATATATTTTTTGGTTCAATGATATTTGAGTAGTTCCTTTTATTTGATAACTTAGAGGAGATCTTTTTAAATTTAAAAATCTGCAATATATTGATAGTAAATTCTAGTTTATTGTTTCAGAGAAAGCATTTTTTATTTGTCTTTATCTTCTTTGATTTTTATCATGTACATGGATACCCTGATGCAGTTACCTATATGACAATAAATGTTTTGTCATATTCCATTTATTTAGAAGGTATTCGCATAAAATAAAAATTATTTTTGCAAGAGAAATATTAAAATACCATAGTGTATTGTAGACTATATATTAGTTTGTCCTTTCACATAATTATTCTGAAGACATATTTCAGATTTTAGATTTTTTTAAATAATAAGGTGATAGTATTAGACAAACCTAAAATATTGGTATATGGATCTTTTAAAATATCACAGAATACCAGTAACTGAAACTTCAGTCACTAAGGGTATGAAACTAGAAAAATCTTGAGTAATTAGATGCATATGTGGCTAGGGTGTATCTTCTTCAGTAGTAGCAGGCTAATGAGAGAGCCAGGTAATAAAGGTCCTTGAACACTAGGCCAAGGATTTTAAGTGGTGTTCTGAAAAATTATGAGGAATCATGGAAAAATTTTAAGACATTTTTTTTTTAAGGAAGAACATTCCGGTTGTAGATTGGAGGATGTTTTATGAAGATCAGATAAATTAAGAGGTTAAGAGTTGTAATCCCAGCAAGAAATGACAGCTGATGGGCTGGACCAAAGCATTTGAAGTGGGACTGGTGAGGAGGGGGTGGATACATAAGTTAGTGGTTCTGAAAGTGTAGTCCCCCAGTGAGCAGTAGAGTTCTCAGTCCTCACCCCAGATCTACTGGTTCAGAAACTATGAGACTGAGACCCAGCAATTGGTATTTAACAAGCCCTGTAAGTGATTTTGGGAACTTCCACTTCTTTTTAAAGATTTTATTTATTTTATGTTTTAGAGAAAGGGAGAATGAAAGAGGGGGAAGGAAGCATGGATGTGAGAAAGAAACATCTATTGGCTTCCCCTCATACATGCCCCAAACAGGGACCAAACCTGCAACCTAGGCATGTATGGGATGAACTGCAACCAACGGAGCCACACCGGTCAGGGCTGGAGAACTTCCGCTTTGAGATTAAGTGGTAGCCTCACTGAGACTCAGAGAGTGCTTACATGGAGATGGTGAGCCAGTGAAAGGAATCACAATAAAACCTTCAATTTCCTGGCTTGTTCTACAAGGTAGTTGAGGGTACCTTCATTCAAACAGAAAATAGGAGATGTAGTAGGTTTGTGTAAAAACAGTGATAGATCTTGTTTTTGACATGTTGAGTTTGGGGTGCTTTTGAGAAATCCATGTAGAATTGTCCAGAGGGCTATTGGGAAAATAGGTCTATATTTCAACAGATTGCTTTGGGATGGAGATACAGGTTTTAGGGTTTTCAGTATATAAGTGATAGTTATGTACTAAAAAGGTAGTCCAGTTTAAGAATCTTAAATTTTTTTTTAAAATGTATTGACTCTGAGAGAGAGAGAGATTGATTGATTCATTTTTCTACTTATTCATGAATTCATTGGTGTGTGCCCTGACTGGGGATCAAACCCACAACCTTGGTGTATTGGGATGATACTCTAACCAACTGAGCTACAAAGCCAGGGCCATTTAAGGGACTTGATGACTTTTTTCCTGCATATTATCAAGATTGAAAAGAGCAGAGATCGAAGAAGCAAACCTGAAGGACATCAGGTTTGGGATTAAAAAGGAAAGAGGATTTTGTGAAGAAAGTGATAATGGATTCCAAAAGATAGACATGCCACCAAATTTGAAAGAGGAAAAGGTTTAAGCAAAAGGGTCTGCAACATCTAGTGCTATAGAGAGACTAAGGAAAATAAAGATGGACAGGTGTTCTTTTAACTTACACTCAGAGTCATGGCAACATTAGCATGGTCAATTTCAGCAAAGCTAGAAGCCAGACGGCTGTGGGCTAAAGTGTGAGTGGAGGACTTCAGGTATTCTGATGAACTAAACATCTGTATTTACTTTGGTTGCTTTCTGGAACCATATTAAAATGACAGTAAAAGGATTTTTTAAAGGCCTAAACCCATAAGGGCAAAGAAAGCAGAAAAGATGACAGTCTCAAAATTTTTGGAAGTTGGAAAGCAGATAAATGAGTAATAACTGAATTAGCTCACTGATAAAACAGTCTTCAGCCTGAGAACTCTGAAAACATGTGGAAATTGATGGCACTGGGTTAGTCTGGAAGGAAAGTGTAAAGGTGGAGCAAAAAACCAGGAACATTGGAAGAAAGTTTATTTAAATCCTTTGATTTTTTCCCCCTGTTCTGTGTATCTGGGCAACTTCTCATCCTCAACACTGGTAGAAGACTAGAGGTTTAATCTCTGAAGAGGATAAAATAGAGGAATACCTTATGTAAGACACTAGCCACAGCTAAGGACAGGGGCTATATTAACTTAGGCCACTATAACAGAACACCACAGACTTGGCAACTTATAAACAACAGACATGTATTTCTCACAGTTCTGAAGGCAGGAAGTCCAAGTTCAAGGCACCAGTAGATTTGGTGCCTGGTAACAGCTTGCTTCCTGCTCCATAGACAGCCAGCTTCTAGCTGTGTCCTCTCATGGCAGAAGGGGTAAGGGAGCTCTGTGAGGTCTTTTTTATAAGGGCACTAATCACATTCATGGGACCACATCCTCATGACCTAATCACCTCCCGGAGGATCCACCTTCTAATACCCCTTGGGGGTTAGCATTAACATGAATTTTATACACACAAAAACATATGCACATATATACATGTGTATACACATGCTTACAGACTCTAGGTGGGAAACTGACATTTTCTTCTCTAGGGAATATGACCAGCTTTGGGAGAAGCACTAACAGTGACATTAAAGGTTCTTAAGGAAAGTGGCCAACTGTGTTACCCAAGGAAAGAGCCTACAATCTTAAAACTACCCAAGTGCTCAGTTTCAAATATGGTTTTAGTGCCTCACTCTTAAATCAGAGCACTAAACCAAGGATAGCCAAACATCTTTTTTTAAAGTATATTTTATTGATTATACTATTACAGTTATCCCATTCCCCCCTTTATTCCCCTCTGCCCTGCAGCACCCCCTCCCACAACCATCCCCCCCTTAGTTCATGTCCATGGATCATACATATAAGTTCTTCGACTTCTACATTTTCTATACTCCTCTTAACCTTCCCCTGTCTATTTTGTACCTACCCTTTATGCTTCTTATTCCCTGTACTTTTTCCCCATTCTCCCCACCCTCACTGATAACCATCCATGTGATCTCCATTTCTGTGATTGTGTTCCTTTTCTAGTTGTTTGCTTAGTTTGTTTTTTATTTTTTTTTAGGTTCAGTTGTTGATAGTTGTGAGTTTGTTGTTATTTTACCGTTCATAGTTTTGATCTTCTTTTTCTTAGATAAGTCACTTTAACATTTCATATAATAAGGGCTTGGTGATGATGAACTCCTTTAATTTGACCTTCGAAGCACTTTATCTGTCCTCTCATTCTAAATTATTGCTTTGCTAGCTAGAATAATCTTGGATGTAGGTCCTTGCCTTTCATGACTTGGAATACTTCTTTCCAGCCCCTTCTTGCCTGCAAGGTTTCTTTTGAGAAATCAGCTGATAATCTTATGGGAACTCCTTTGTAGGTAACCGTCTCCTTTTCTCTTGCTGCTTTTGAGATTCTCTCCTTCTCTTTAATCTTGGATAATGTGATTATGAAGTGCCTTGGTGTGTCCCTCCTTGGGTCCAATTTCTTTGGGACTCTCTGGGCTTTCTGTACTTCCTGGAAATTTATTTTCTTCGCCAAATTGGGGAAGTTCTCCTTCATTATGTTTTCAAATAAGTTTTCAATTTCTTGCTCTTCCTTTTCTCCTTCTGGAACCCCTGTGATTCAGATGTTGGAATATTTAAAGTTATCCTGGAGGTTCCTAAGCTCTCCTCATTTTTTTGAATTCTTGTTTATTCATTCTGTTCTGGTTGAATATTAATTTCTTCCTTCTGTTCCAAACCATTGATTTCAGTCTTGGTTTCCTTCCCTTCACTGGTGGTTCCCTTTATTTCATTTTTCACAGCCTTCACTTTTTCCTCTATGTTGCAACCATACTCAACTATTTTTGTGAGCATCCTGATGGCCAGTGTTTTGAACTCTGCATCTGATAGGTTGGTTATCTCTTCATCTCTTAGTTGCATTTTTTCCGGGGCTTTGATCTTGTCTTTTATTTGGCCCATGTTTCTTTGTCTCAGTGTGCTTGTTATGCGGTAAGGGGTGGAGCCTTAGGTATTTGCCAGGGCAGGTCAACCCACATCGCTGGATTGTGGCACTGTATGTTGGGGAGGTGTGCAAGAGGAAACAGTGCCACTTGCTCAACTCTCAGCTGGCTTTCAGTCACTTCCCCTGCTACCCACAAGCAAATTGGGCCTTTTTGGTGCTGATTTCCCGCTGAGTGGTTTTGTGTACTTTCTAGGATGCCATGGTCCTCTCCAATCCACTCTCTCGTGAGCCTGGGAGTTTCTCCTGCCACCTCAACCCCCACAGGTTTTTTTAGTCAGAGGTTTTGGGGCTTTATTTCCCTGCACTGGAACCCTGGGTTGTATGGTCTGTCTCACTCCCCAATTGTTCCTCCTAGTTTATCCACATCCCAGTGTAGGACAGCCTGCTCTGCCAGCCACCACCTCACCCAGTCCTCCATCTTGCACCTTGCCTCAAGTATTCTCCACCCCTGCTACCTATGTACACCTCTCCTACCAGTCTGGATGAATGTTTCTTCTTTAACTTGTTGGTTATCGGACTTCCATATAGTTTGCTTTTCTGGTAGTTGTGGTTATCTTTTGTTTTTAAATTTGTTGTTTTCCTTCTTTTGGTTGTGTGAGGAGGTGAAGTGTATCTACCTATGCCTCCATCTTGGCTGGCAGTCCACAATTTTTTTTTCTCTTTTATCATTTTTTATTAATGTTCCACTATAGTTATCTCAATTTTTCCACCATCACTTTCCCCTGTCCACCCACCCCCATCTCCCACCCTCAATCCTCCCCCCTTTGGCTTTGTCCATGGGTCCTTTATACACATCCATTGATGACCCTTTCCCTTTTTTCCCCTGTTATTTCCTTCTCCCCTCCACTTACTGTCATTTTGTTCTTAATTTCAACATCTCTGGCTATATTTTGCTTGCTTGTTTGTTTTGTTAATTAGATTCCACTTATAGGTGAGATCATATGGTATTTGTCTTTTACTGCCTGGCTGACTTCACTTAGTATAATGCTCTCCAGTTCCAACCATGCTCTTATGAAGGGTAGGAGCTCCTTCTTTCTTTCTGCTGTGTAGTATTCCATTGTGTAAATGTGCCACAGTTTTTTGATCCACTCATTTACTGATGGACACCTAGGCTGTTTCTAGAACTTGGCTATTGTAAATTGTGCTACCATGAACATTGGGGTACATAGCTTCTTTTGAATTAGTGTTTCAGGATTCTTAGGATATAATCCCAGCAGTGGAATTGCTGGGTCAAAAGGCAATTCCATTTTTAGTTTTTTGAGGAAATTCCTTACTGTTTTCCAGAGTCTCTGCACCAGTCTGCATTCCCACCAACAATGTACTAGGGTTCCCCTTTCCCAACAACCTCACTAGCACTTATTGTTTGTTGATTTGTTTATGATGGCCTTTCTGACCAGTGTGAAGTGGTATCTCATTGTGGTTTTAATTTTCATCTCTCTGATGGCTAGTGATGCTAAGCATCCTTTCATAAGTCTCTGGGCCCTCTCTGTGTCCTCCTTGGAGAAGTGTCTGTTCAAGTCTTTTGCCCATTTTTTAGTTGGGTTGTTGTCTTCCTGGAGTGGAGTCATATGAGTTCTTTATGTATTTTGGAGATCAAACCGTTGTCTGAGATATCATCGGCAAATATATTTTCCCATACAGTTGGTTCCCTTAGAAATACAGAACACTTCATGAATTTACATGTCATCCTTACACAGGGGCCATGCTAATCTTCTCTGTATCATTCCAGTTTTAGTATATGTGCTGCCAAAGTGAGTGCAAGGCCTCGATTTGTTGTTCCATTTATTTATGTGTTTATTGGTTGCTTCTGCATGTGCCAGGACCTGGAGGTTGAACCTGTAACCTTGGTGTATCGGGAGATGATGATCTAACCAACTGAGCTACCTGCCAGGGCCCCAGGCCCATCTTTTAAAGGACCTTACCTAAGGCCTTGGGAAATAGCCAACACAGCGTGAACATCCTGGGATTCCCCCCTTTTTAAATGTCCAATTCAATGGTTCTGAATTTTTTTAAGTAACCATTTTACTAATATTACATTTCCCTAATCTGTACCCAGGGTAAAACAGGTAACATTTTAATCAGTTGTTTCAGAACTGCATAACAAAGGGACACTGGCTTCCTAACCTAAAGTGGTAGGCACCTTACTAGCCTCTGTCCCACCTCCTCTGCTCAGCAGTTCCTCATTTTAGGGTCTATTATAATACCTCCACTTACAATTACTAAATTCAGTATCAGGATATTTGGGCTATGAGTAACCCCAAACAAAAACTCTTGACAGGCATTGAAGAGGTGACATCAGCTGTTCAGCACTGTTGTTAGGAAGCCAGGTTGTTTTGCCTCTCCCTGCCCCAGGCTGGCTTCTCTGCAACAAGCTGTTTGCAGCAGTTCTGGCAGTTCCAGGTATAGCAGTGTCAGAGGGAAGAAAGCCTGTCTTCTGTGTCCCTTAGGAGCAAGGAAACCTTACCCAGAAGCCTCCCTAGTCAATCTCACATCTCAGTGGTCAGAAGCAGGTCACTTGCCCATTCCTAAGCCAATCACTAGCAAAAAGTATGGTTTAAAATAATGAGCGTTTTGTTTCTCGAAGCTTGAGATGAGGTCAGCTTCCTTTGATGCACATGACTGTGTGGAAGAGGGTAAGTATGCAAAATGTTGGGACTCACTAGAGAAGGAAGAAGAGGAGTAGGCAGCCACCCAACCATATTGTCCAGTATACAAATAGATCTCATTTAGGAAATGAATTTAGCTTTTATCAAGTACCTCCTACATAGTAGACACACTTAGGAATTTGTGTATATTGTTTCATTTAGTCATCACAGCAAACCTGGAGGAGCAGGTGATGGAACAGGCCATACAATGACTGGGCCCAGACACCTGTGCCCTGGCACATGGAGTAGAGCTTGGGTTAAAATTCAAGTGCCATTCCAGACCCATGGTTTTTCCACTACTATCATATAAACAGTTGGAGCTAGACTCTTAAAAAAAAAAACCCACATTTGTTAAAAACAGAAGGCATAGATGTTCTTAGCCGCGACAATCTTTAAGCCAAATTTTACCCCTGTTTGAAGAGTGTAGCTGCTCTAATTAGACAGGACTGGAATTCTTTCTAGGCTCCCCCCTGCCCCTGGGTAACCACTAAGGTGCTTCGGGAGCCTCTGAAACTTCATGAAACATGCTGAAGACACCATCAGCCACATGCAACTCAGGTGAGCCCGGGCCACTGGGTCCTGGAGCAACTCAGGTGCCCTCTGGATTGCATTGATCTCAAAGGGGACTTTAAAGATTACATATTTGTTTTATAATCAGTTCTTTGGCTCTCTGCCCAGAGAAGTGACGAAACAACCCTGGAATTTAAATAACCATCTAACTTTATGATGGTGACACCTACCAGGAGGGGGCCATTGGGTAGAACCAAGGACTTGGGGTGAGACCCTACAGTTCTGCTGATTGTATTCAGTCCCTGCAATACCTTCATTCTTAAGGTTTCTTAAAAACAATTCATTTGACATATAGTTACTGAGCAATTCTCCTGGAACTCTAGCTAATGTCATATACAATCCCAGGGGGTTATAACAGAAGCATGATTCTTCACAAATAGACTCCTGCCTTGTCTGTAATGTCCTACAAATAGTTTGTCATTCCAACTGCCTTGCTCTTTCTTTTCTGAACCTGTCACTTGCATTCCTGTCTGTCTTTGCCTTGTCAGTCCCCGTGGGTAGAACCCTCCCTCCCTGCTTTTGTTTATTAAGTCACACCCACCCTTCAACTCAAGTCCCATTATGTGTGAGATACTCCTCAAATATCCAGGCCAATAAAATGAGCAGAAGCAATACATGGCAGTTCCTTCTCCAGCCTGTAAGGGGCCTGGCAGTTTCTTCTTTGTTACCATGTTAGCAGTCTGACTGCCCCAGGCCACCATACTGTGAGGAAGTCAAAGCTAGCCATGTGGAGAGTCATGTAGAGAAGTGCTGATGCAACAGACAAGTGAGTGAAGCCTTCTCAGACCTTTGAGCTCAGTCCGGCCTCTAACTGAATACAGCCAAATGAGTGATTTTAGTTAATTGCACATAAAACAGAACTGCCTTGCAGAGCCCAGTCAGCATGGAGATAGGAAAGAGTGGTGTTTTGCTATGCAACTAGAGCAAGTAGCATCACAGCAGGTCAGTTAGCAGGATTCTTCCCAGATAGGCTGAGTCTGAGGCTTTCAGGTAGCATGGGAAAATGGTGATCTTGGAGATCTCTGGCAGGCAGTCTACTGGTAGGGGGAAAGGGGTATGGGTTAGGAAGGGGGCACTGATGCAACAGAAAAAGTATGCCTCAGTTCCCTATGTACTATATATCTTCCAGCATAGCTTTTTATTGCTGTCCATGTACAGCCCCTCACTTCCAGGTCATGTTGTGCCTTCTCAAGCTAAACCCTCTGGGCAATTTTACAAGCCCCATTGTGTGTAAAAATGGGGACAGCGATATAGAACTTGAGGCAGTGCTTGGAACTGTCAGAGAAGCATGGGGAGATGGGATGCACAAAGAAAAGAAAAGTGGCTGAATGCCCCCAAATATCACCTCCTTTGTAGCTGTGCCTGGCAACAGCTTTCCCTGTCCCAGAAAAAATTTTCATACTTCATTTAGGAAGCTTTTAATTTATTGATCTAGCATTTCTTAATCACCTTCAGGGCACTGCATCAGTCTCTGAGAATTCAAAGATGAAGATACAGTCTTACTTTTGAGATGTTTATCACTGCTTGATAGATAAATTCTGGGACCATACTATATTTTGGCATTGTAAAGTTATTTAAACATTTTTTTAGAAGAACTACACCACCTGGTAAAAGAGTTCATTTTACCCCTTTAAGTCTTTGGGAGAAAAAAATCCTGACTTGTTTATTTAGTCATTTATCCACCCCACTCCACTCTCCCTGGTCCTTTCAGACCTCAACTCCACCCCATCCTGCTTGCTTCCATGTCTAGATCTAATTATCTAGATATAATTTTTGTCATGTAATTTACCCAGCTTGAACTCGATTTGTGACTGATGGCCCATGGGCTGCCTCTGTGATGGACGTGAGCCAGTGATTTCAAAGCTCAAAAATGGGCCCCCAGAATCATATCACTCGCTTTTCCAAAAGCAGTGGTGAATTCAAACCACAAATCTGTGAACTAGCCCTGTGACTTGGCCCTCTTACACTTTATAGAAACCTGTCAAAATTTGATTCCACTGAATATCTGCCCAATTTTTTATGTAAGTTGTGTGTTCTGTCATATTACTTTTACAAATAACAAGGATCAGACTCTTAAAACTCCTTAAAAAGAACAAAGTGGATCCAGCCCTAGAAACTTAGAGCCAAGGAGCTAAAGAGTTTAAGTCAGGCAGCTTCAGGATAATGGAGTAATTAAAGCCAATAGTGAATAAAATGGCTCAGCTCACATGTTAGTAGTGAGTTTTCCACTCATTGAAAGAGGTATTTGCACATAGTGAAAATGTATGGCTCTAAAATTCCCAGCACCAGCCATTTAAATTCCTACCCTTTGCTTTTGATGAAACCATCTAAATTGGTAACACAAAGAAGTTAAGAAGAAATGACACTTTGAGAGCTTCTAGCAGAGCATGAATTGATTGCTATATCCCGCCTCACAAATGCTTGGCTACCCCTGGCTGTGTGATTGGGCAGCTGATCCCAGTTTACCAGACAGAGACTACTATTCCCCACCCGCCCCCTCCCCATCCTAAATTCCATTCAAACTCTGGCATTAATTGAGCCATGAGTCTTGGGCAAGTCAGCTTCTCTGAGCCTCAATTTTCTCATTTAAAAAATGAGGAGGTGGAAATAGAACCATGATTTTATTTTTAAAATTTTATAAACAGCAAAGAAAGGAAGAGAAAAACAATTCAGCACAAGAGCATGTTTTTACCAGGCATACCTGCCATAACCTGCCACTTGTGGCTTCTCACATGGAAACCTCATAAGAAATTCTCTAAAACTGTGATCTGATCCAGCTTTAGGCAAGAATTTCTCCTTTTTTTTTTTTAAATAAATATTTTATTTATTTATTTTTAGGGAGGGAAGGGAGGGAGTGGGAGAGAGAGAGAGAGAGATCAATGTGCGGTTGCTGGGGGTTATGGCCTGCAACCCAGGAATGTACCCTGGCTGGGAATCGAACCTGGGACACTTTGGTTCCCAGCCCGCGCTCAATCCACTGAGCTATGCCAGCCAGGGCTAAGAATTTCTCCTTTTATAGAAGCTGAGCTCAACCATCTGGGATTCAATATTCCTGTTCTTTATCCTCTTGTTTTTTTGTTTTGTTTTATGTGTGTGTGTACATTTCTTTCAGTGATTCTTTTACTACATTTTTAATTGAAAATAGACATTTTATTTTGTTTATACAAGGTACAATTTCAAAATAGAGGTCACATAATATGTAGATATAATAGATAAGGGAATATAAATATAAATGTATATATACAGAAAATGTCACTGAGTTCAGTTTTCTTCCTGAATCCTTAAATCAGGAGGATTCACTGGGCACAATATCTCTTTCCTCCCTTTCAGTAAATGCAGAGCACCTAACTGGAGAAAGTTTTAGGAGCTGAAAACCTGATGCCATCCTTATAGACTTTTCCCTGCCAGAGGAGCCTACTAAGTTCACTTAGAGCCTCAGGTATATTTCTTTTCTTTGTAAAGTGCAAGCCAAGAGGAGGGACAGAAGAAATAGTGAAGCTGATAAGCTATCCTGAGTAAATATCATAATGAATAAAAGCCCTGATAGGAAGACCTGAGGCCTTCAAGCTGGGACTTTGGTAACTCGGCCCTATATCTGAAGCAGGGCCTGGCATGTGGTTTTTGTGCTAAGCCTGGAGAACCTACTCATCCAGGCAGTGTCTAGGGTAGGCACAGTTGATAAAATAATGCCCGGTCATTTTAGCATCCCAGCAGCTTTCCTTGGCACCCAACCTCTTGAGTCTTTTCTAGGTTCCCTCTGGCCAGAGCAAAACTGGTGCCTTCACTCAAGCCCTTGCTGGTCCCGCTGGCCCCTGGAGTTTCCTAGGCTATGTGGTGGTTTTCTGTGTCCTCCTCTCTGCCGTCGGTTCCCCCAGTCATTGGTCTATCTTCCATATTTTCCATCTGAACGCTGGGTGTCCAGGAATTTTGCCTGTAAAGCAGGTAATTGACAGGTTTTAAAAAGAGGACTTGCCCTCAAATGAAGTACATAGTCCCTGTTGAACACTCAAAAGGAGAAAACTCCATTCACAGATACTGTTTAACTCACATTTTGGTATTTTTAATCCCCTCATTCACCAGAGTTCCCAGTGCTGTTGGAGCAGCTTCCCCCACTTTGCCAACTCTCTGCTAAAAAGTGGTAGTTCAGACAGCGAGAACAAGAGGAGAGAAAGACTAGGAGCCCGGATAAGTCCAATGTGATAATCCTGATAAAAATGATGTAGTGATTTGGCACTTAGTGTTAAATAAATAAACAAACAACTACATTGACAGTTCCTGAGTAACCAAGAGAAGGGGAGGCATAATACTTTAATTCCATATTTCTGCCATGTTTTTTAGGCCATGAGTATCTGAGTCACTGATTTCTTTCCTGGATTATTGAATCCACTTCCTGTGGATAAGCACTTTTTAGGACTTTTAAAAATAAACACTTGGAGCTTCTTGGAGGTCAACCAATTCTTAAAGATATATTTATGAATATTTCTCTAACATAGTCTGAGGATATTGATATTTCCTCTTATGAGTATATTTATTGGCCATTTATACCACATTTTCAAAAACTTTTAAGAATATACTTTTAATGTACTATTCTTTTAACATATTGTGTGTGTATTCTTTTTTAAATATAGTCAATTAATATAGTCATTACAATTTCTTAAGAGTGTAACTCCAAATGCAGCATTTTATATGGAAATTATTATAAGGACATTTTGAAAATCCTTTTAAAAGTCATATTTTTGCCAACATTTTAACATTTTTTGTTTTTTGACAAGTGTTCAAGTAATATATTATCTTTAGTTTATTAATTTCTAAACTGTGAGGTTTATGTCACTTCTTGTTGGTTGCGATGGTATTGCCAGATTTTGAAGATTTATGTAAATTTTTATATGATGTTTTCATTTTGGTTTTACAGTAGCATTTCATGAAATGTTCATTTTTTTCAGAGTTAGGCTGAAAGGGTGGTATAGTTTTATATGGATAAGATATTTAGAAAAGAATTTTTTTTACTAGTAACTAAAAGTTTATTTTCAACAAATCTGATATCCATTCATTGTGTAATGCTGAGGAAGGATCCAGAGCAACCACATTAATCTGGAGTGCTGAAATAGTGATTACTGATTGATAGAAGTATAAAATTAAGGCTAATATATCATTTAAAGCTTTAATGAAAGAATGATGAAAATGACTGAAGACTAGAAAAGTAGTAAAATCTGAAATTTCAGCAAGTGGCAGAAATAATCTGGTCACAAATGCTGACATGTCCAATTTCAATTATTACAAATATAAAAGTAAGGCTGACATGAAGGAGTATATTTATAAAAAGTTATATCCATATTTAATATGTGTTCAAGAAGAATATATTCATGACTATATGATAAGAATTGATACAAATTGCATGTATATCAAATTGGTTATTTGGCACAGCCTTTCCTTCTGAGCTGGCTCTCAGTAAAATTGGCCCCATGTCATCAGTTAGGTTCTGGTGGCCCCATTTCTGATTAGTGGCTTGCTTTGGAAAGTGAAGGGCTCTCTAGGACTGGCTCAGTGACTCCTCAGCTCCAACACTCCTTTTGGCCAACACAGAAGGGGGTGAGAGTGACAGCCAGCGTCTCTAGCCAGGAAAGGGCCAGAGTCATGATAATGAAGCTTTTTTCTCAGAGGAACGGAAGAATCTTGTCTAATGTGATTTTCCTGTGCCACTCACCTTGATTTTTTGCAGTAACGTACTAGAAGAAATGCCACACACACTCCACAAATCACAAGGACAGGTATGGATACTGCCAATGTAAAACAAGAGAACTAAGTTGGTATCATGCTAAAAGTCCAGGTAGCAGATTCATTTCCAAGAATCTAAAAATTCTTTACAATTTACGTTCCTGAAGAGAGATCCAAACACCTCCCCAACCAGCTTACTGTTGTTAACATTTCTTAAGGTCCATGAAATCCAATCTATTCATCTGGGCAAAAAGTTCACTTCTTTCCCACTGACACTGCCAGTTCAAACTGTCCCCATTCATCTTATACCCAGACCTCTGCTCCCAATCCTTGTGCTTCCTGAGCTGAGTGACATGGTGATGGGAAAGGACAAGAGTAAGTCAGGAGGGGATCAGAAGCTGAGGTGGACATATGAGGATGAGGAGGCTAGCACTTTGTGAGAAGAAATGCTTGCTGCTAACTCCAAAGTCAGGAAAACAACAGACACAGCAAGGGTCCTCCTTGGTTGTCCTTTGACATGACCTCCCCCTTTTCTGCAGCTTCGCAAAAACCTGAAATGATAGCTTAATCAGTGCCTTCTGGCCAAGATGGAGGCATAGGTAGACATGCTGTGCCTCCTCGCACAACCAAAATAAGGACAACAACAATTTAGAAACAAAAAACAATTAGAACTGACAGAAAATTGAACTGTGTGGAAGTCTGACAACCAAGGAGTTAAAGTAGACACGTTCATCCAGATGGGTAGGAGGGGCGGAGTTGGGGAGCTGGGACGGAGAGGGGTTGAGGCAAAGCTGCAGCTGGCAGATGCAGTGAGGCAGTAGAATGTGGACAGGCACGGTGCACAAGGTGGCTGGTGGACTGGGTGGTTCCCACATTTGTGCGCAGATAAACCAGGCAAAACTGGGGAGCAAGACAGACTGTGCAACCCAGGGTCCCAGCTTGGGGAAATAAAGCCTCAAAATGCTGATTAAAACACCTGATTGAGAAACTCCCAGCCTCACAGGAAAGTTTGTTGGAGAGACCCACAGGGTCCTAGAATGTAACAAACCCACCCACATGGGAATCAGCACCAGAAGGACCCAGTTTGCTTGGGGGATGTGGGGGAAATGACTGAAATGTGGCAGAGAGCAGAGCAAATGCCATTGTTCCCTCTCAGACCCCTTCCCCACATACAGCTTCACAACACAGCGATGTGGGTTACCCAGTCCTGGTGAACACCTAAGGCTCCACCCCTCACTGTGTAACAGGTGCATTGAGACAAAACAAACAAACAAACCATGGCCCAAATGAAAGAACAGGTCAAAGCTCCAGAAAAAAGTACAATTAAGCAATGAAGAGATGGCCAACCTATCAGATGCACAGTTCAAAACACTGGTGATCAGGATGCTCACAGAATTGGTTGAATTTGGTTGCAAATTAGATGAAAATATGAAGGCTATGCTAAGTGAAATAAAGGAAAATGTGCAGGGAATCAGTAGTGATGGGAAGGAATCCTGGACTCAAATCAATGGTGTAGGAAGGAAGGTGTAGGTGACCAGAAGAAAGAAAAAAACATCCAATCAGGAAAGAATGAAGAAATAAGAATTCAAAAAAATGAGAGACTTAGGAACATCCAGGACATCTTTAAACGTTCCAACATCTGAATTATAGGGGTACCAGAAGGAAAAGAGGAAGAGCAACAAGTGGAAAAGTTATTTGAACAAATAATAAAGGAGAACTTCCCCAATCTGGCAAAGGGAATAGACTTCCAGGAAGTCCAGGAAGCTCAGAGAGTCCCAAAGAAGTTGGAACCAAGAAGAAACACACCAAGGCACATCATAATTACATTAGCCAAAGTAAAAATGAAGGAGAAAATCCTAGAAGCAACAAGAGAAAAGGAGACAGTTACCTACAAAGGAGTTCCCATCAGACTGTCAGCTGATTTCTCAAAAGAGACCTTACAGGCAAGAAGGGGCTGGAAAGAAGTATTCCAAGTCATGAAAGGCAAGGACGTACATCCAAGACTGCTCTATCCAGCAAAGCTTTCATTTAAAATGGAAGGGCAGATAAAGAGCTTCCCAGATAAGGTCAAGTTCAAGGAGTTCATCATCACCAAGCCCTTATTTTATGAAATGTTAAAGGGACTTACTAAGAAAAAGAAGATGAAAAACATGTACAATAAAAAGACAGCAAACTCACAATTATTAACAACAACATCTAAAACAAAAATGAAAACAAACTAAGCAAACAACTAGAACAGGAACAGAACCACAGAAATGGAGATCACATGGAGGATTAGCAACAGGGGAGTAGGAGGAGGAAAGAGGGGGAAAAGGTACAGAGAATAAGTAGCATAGATGGTAGGTAGAAAATAGACAGGGGAGGGTAAGAATAGTATGGGGAATGTAGAAGCTAAAGAACTTATAAGTATGACACATGGACATGAACTAAAGGGGGGGATGTGGGTGGGAGGGGGGTGCAGGGTGGAGGGGAGTGAAGGGGGAAATGGGACAATTGTAATAGCATAAGCAATAAAATATATTTAAAAATAATAAAGTAAAATCAAGAATGAACTGTAAATAAAAGGCTAGAACCAAAGGAAAAAGAAAATAGAAATGATAGCTTGCAGTGCCATTTGTCTTCCAATTTCATTATCATTATTTATTTATTTGCTACTTTTTATGACAGAGGAAGGGTGATAAGGAGAAGGAAGAGGTGTTATAAGAGAGGTCCTACAGATGAGAGGAGAATAAGGTAATGTTTAAGAAAAGGAACAAAACATGTGGACTGAGTTGTAAGGGACAGCACAGAGGGGTGGGAGGAGTTAAGGGTGGAAGGCCAGCAGTGATGACAGCTTTTAGATTTATTAGACCTGAACAGTGGGATCTTTGTGTGGAAGCAAAAGGCTTATCCTGTGGGCAGGGTGAGCATAGCTATTTTTAAAACACTTGTGTAAATAATAAGCTCCAAGCAAATTTGGCCAGTTTGACTTAATGTTATGAAATCTCCCTGCAAAAATCACCTAGCTGCCCCATGACAACCCTGAACATCTGGACAACCAGCTGTCTCACTGGGGGCCATGAGTCACTTCCGTCTCCTAGACTATTAAGCTTTTTGGACCTGTGCCTATACAACCAACACATAACTTTGTAGGCAAGAGGAATATCCCATGGCTCAGCTTTCAAAATACAACCATCTTGAAAAACAGCTAAATACATGGATGTGTGGCAAAACCAGGTTCTCTCCTGGGTAGGAGTGTAAATGTATGCAGTTTTCCTCAAGGGGAGTCGGCAGCATAACAAAAGCTTTAGAGAAGACTATCTCCTTTGACTCTCTAATTCTGCTTTTAGGAATTCTAAGGACATGAGAAAGGACCATATTTTGCCATATATGATGCACACCCACATTTTTTGGTCCACACTTTCAGGAAAAAATCTTTCATTTTAATTTTTTAATTCAATTAATTATTTACTTGTTTATATTTAGAAACTAAACCAGTTATTGTATTCCAGGGCATTGTTTTGCATACAGATATACAGATGCTTTTTAAAGTTACATTTTAAACACATCAGCATAAATAAAAGAATTAAAAACATTTATATAGATGCAGAATTACTAACACCCATATATAATACGCACCCTTATTTTTCCCTCAAAAATTTGGGCAAAACTTTACAACTTTACAAGTCTTCAAAACTACTTTCAGTAGAAGTAAGCATAGAAAACTTGTTCCAAAAGAAGGAACAGAAAACGTGGGAAATTGGTGACAGATGTTTTGAGTTTTCCAACTTAATATTACTCATCAGCAGGACTAAAAGTCAGAAATCTGTTATCAGCAAAGATATTGCAGCCTATGATAAGCTATTTCTTCACACTGACTAATCCGCTTAGTGTGCATTTACTGTTTATAGAGAGATTTATTGGAAAAGGCAAGTCAATGTAAACAATAGTTGTGTTTCACAATGCTTCTTCCGGTTTCCTTTTAATGAGAATAAAAACTGCAGACTCAAACTCAAGTGAGAAGAGGTCTTCTGAGCCAGTGATCCAAACAAAGCAATTTGAATTTAGTGAATTAAACTCAAATGCTTGGCCTCTTCCTTAGTTATAACAGACAAATTTAGTAGAGAAATTGAAACCAGAATCACTAAAACAATGGACTAAAATATCAACTGCCACAATTCTCCACCCTTTCATGTTTCCTCAGGGTTGGGGGCGGTGCATGGATTAGAGAAATAGGAAGTGAGAGAGATTTGGCGAGATGGAGGATGAGAGAAGAGGATTAGAGTCTGGGAAAGGGAGGAGAAAAAGTGGATTATTACACAGGACGCCAAGAAGGTCAGTGCTGCTGCCTTGAGTTCAACCTACAGTGCATGTTGGGTCTGAGGCTGTGAGGCAGTCCAGACACCCAGTGACTACTATTCCACGTGTTTGATGAAAGGTCCTTTGTGAATATATAGGGAATTGCCATTCCTTAGCAACACCTGCAAACTAGGTCATTCAGTACGCATTTCTTTTTTTTTTTTTAACACATCTGTCCCTTTTTTTTTAAAGATTTTATTCATTTATTTTTAGAGAGGGAAGGGAGGGAGAAAGAGAGAGAGAGCGGAACATCAATGTGCAGTTGCTGGGGGCCGTGGCCTGCAACCCAGGCATGTGCCCTGACTGGGAATCGAACCTGCGACACTTTGGTTCGCAGTCCGTGCTCAATCCACTGAGCTAAGCCAGCCAGGGCTTAGTACGCATTTCTGATGTTGCTGTGCCCAGGATCCTTGTGTGTTTGTATTTGATGAGGGCAATTTTGAAAAAGAATGTCAATTCATTATGCCTGGGCACTTTTCCTAGTTTCTTTTCTATCTCTTACTATACTGAGAACATTCTAAGTGTTGCGGTCAGAGTAGATAATCAATATTTAATTGATTGAATAAAATCATTAACATTCCATAAGTTGAAGTATGCACATTTTAAGTACCATTTACACTTGACTTGGGGAGGTGCACACACAGCACAGTGTACAGATGATGTGCTGTGGGACTATGCACCTGACACCTGTAATTTTGTTAACAAGTCACCCCAATAAATTCAATAAAAAGGAAAAATGTTTTTAAAAAAGTAAGTGCTATTTGTTTTTTAATGAGAAATCTGCATTTCATTGCAGTGTAGGACCATATCTGGCACAAAATAGGATCTCAATTTGTATTGACTGGACAGATGAATGACAGAGATGCAGCTCCTATGAAAGGTCGAGCAGACTGAGCACAGCGAACTTATTTCCGATGGCCCGACTACAGCTGTAACGCATTCAGAAAATCAAACTCCTGTTCTCAGTGTACTACATGAATATGGCTATGTGAACACTGTCATAGGTAGCATTTTTTTACCTTATTTTTTACAATTGAGACTCTTCAAGAATACCTTAGTCGAGAATCAGAGAGCAGATATTGGAATTATTGAATAAAGATATTGATGAGGATGACTGCCAAAGGAGGCGGTAGATATTGAAGGCAATGAAATGATGAGTCACACTTTAATATTTATTCAAAGGTTAAAGCCCTCAAATTCACTTACCAATTTGCAAATTTTTCAATATTTATTCAGCATCTACTATTTACCATTTTCTATAGCACCAAAAATAGCAACTTTAAAAGTTGTGATACCTTTTATAAACTTATTTTAAAAAAAAGTGATATTGGTAGTATCAATGGGCTGATTAAAACATTAAACATTGACTTAGCGACCACTATAGTGAAGCATTATTTATATTTCCTTACAAAGATGAACTCAACTGATTGCTTATTCATATAGAAATAGCAACACCCACTGATGCCTAGGGCACCAGCAAGTACCTCTGTCACTGGTAACAGTCCTGGGCATACTCTTAGGTCTCAGGTGCCTGCAATTGTATGTGACATACTCTGAATGCATTATCACTAAGTGTTTTCATAAAATAAGCATGCTATTCATTTTAGCATATACCTTCTTAGGAGATGAAACTCAAGTAATATAAATGAAATATATCTAGTTTTTATCTCCCTGCTGAAATTACTTGCTCTGTCCTATAATTGTTAACATGCTATCTTTATATTTTAAGCAGCCTGAAAGAAGACTTTCTTATTCATGTAATATGAAAGGCTTAAAGCTATTTTTTTCTTTTAAATCTCTGTATTTTAACAGTTCCTTGCACATAGGTATCTTTGTCTATTGTACATGTTTAGTTTATGTTTATCATATTACATTTCAGAATTTAGGAGTGACTTTCTCATAGTTTAACCCAGTGGGAGACACGAATTGGAAAAAATATATATTCTAGATTATAGCCCACAATAAATAGTTTGAAAATCTATATAGAAAATATGGTCCCAAAATTTTATGTGTAGGATTTTATCCTATAGCTATACTCACACATATGCAGAACAATACATGGTTTTCCAATTAATCATGTAACATAGCCAATGAATGTAAGCAATCACATGTCCAAATAGGGTTTGGCCGAATAAATTGTGGCAAATTCGTGCTATGGAATATTTTGAAGCTGTTAAAAAGAATAGCATGGTTTTATGTGTTGATGTAGAAGGATCTCCAAGATATACCACTAATGGAAACAAACAGGGTGCAGAACAGTGACAATAAAACACCTGACTGGCCAGCACCATTCATCCTCTGTGTGTGGTTACATCCTGACTTTCTCTGAAAAGGCCCACAGAAATCTGGGAACAGGAGTTTCTTCCTTCCAGCAAGGGGATTTTTTAGACACAGGGCTTACTTTTTACTACATATATCCTTTTGTAATTAAAAAAATTTTTAAACCCTGTGCAAATATTATCAATTTAAAAAAATGAATAAAAATTTTAAAACTGTAGAAAGATTAATGCAGTATAAGACATAAAAAGAAAAATTAGCTTGGCTTCTTTATTTATTGGTCTCCTCTTAAATGATAAACATATTTTTGTTTCCACATCCTTGTTATTAAATGCCATAGCTTCTCTATGAAACTACTCTACAAAGAGCCTTTCTGAAATGTCTTGCCTTTGCATATATGACTGATTTTTTTAAAAAGCCATTTTAATCAACGAACTGCTGAAATGACCAAAGCCACTTGACTTTTTCCAGATGACACTAATGCAGATAAAATGTAACCACAAAACTATGAATCCTTCCCTAGCAGGAAAACTTGGAAATCAGAAAAAAAAATCATTTTTGCCCATGTGAAATTAGTAGTTTTTTGGGTTCATTTGAAAACCTGTCAGACAAAAGTATTAGATCCTTTCTTACTACTTGCATTTCTCTCTTTTTGCTTCTGTTCCTCTTTTTCTCTCTTCTGAGCTCTCCTCTCCTTTCATCTTTTTCTTTCATTCTTGCTAACACTTTTTAATTTTCCTACTTACATTTCCTGAGGCATTCGAACTTCTAGCCTTAGTGTTCTTTCATCTTCTGTAAAAAGAAGCCTTCTAGCCTGAGAAATTTGAACAGTCTGGCTGTACGTACGTGGTGCTAACACTCTGGGAGAGTAGTGTAACCTATGTGTCGGCAGGATATCATCTCAATGAAACCAGCACTCACTTGTGGTTCCTAATAATTCTGGACAGAAGTCTGGCCCTGCTAGCAGAACTGAATTGCTGAATACGCCTTTTTCATGATGTGTCTACTCTCTGGTTTCCATATCAGGAGTCTGACAGTGGGAAGGTACCAAGATAAAGATAACTGATGTCAAATAAAGAATTCTATAAATAGGGTGATCATGTAACTTTGTCTCTAAACTGAGATACTTTTGAGAGTGAAAGGAAATGCTAGCAGTGATCGTGCAGGGACAGCTGGCACAAACCAGGACTGTTCAGCTTCCTGGGACCATGGTCCTCCAAGCATCAACACTGCCATGACAAAGGTAAATACTTACCAGAGACGGCTGTGGAATTGTATGCATGTGCACCTGCAGAGAAGAAATTGCATCTCAATTATGACTGTAGTCCTAAAGGCATTATTCTCATTAAGCAGGAGAAATTCTGGACAATTTGTTTCTCACCTTAAAGCCTTGAGAAATTCATCTCTGGCAAAGCCAAACTCATCTTAGCAAAGAACAAGCAAAGCAATTATTTCTTTTAGATGCTGGGCCACACTTAGGAATCAGATATGCCCTTACAAGTAAAGGCGGGGGGGGGGGGGCGGGCGGAGAGGGAAATGGGGACAACAGCTGTAATTGAACAACAATAAAAATTTTTTTTAAATGAAAAAGAAAAAAATATAATCAAATATGCCCTTACAGAAGATACAAATTACCGAGAGCTCCTCCATCCCATAGATCATGACTCCAGATGGTGAAAAGCTTCCTCTGTCCTCCTATATTGCGAGGAGGCAGATGTTCAGATTCTTGGCAAATCAGGTTAATATGGTGAGCCTTGTCACACATGGGAGATGGACTTTTTTTTTCCATCGGACTGAGCCAAGATGAAGCACAAAAATAGAGACCAGAGCAAGAAGGCTGCAGCAGACAGAAAGCAGGTGGCAGAGGGTTGCTAAGTTGTCCTGACTTTGGATGGTATAATGTCATGCAGGCAGAGGCTGACTGCTCTGAAAGCATGCGAAGTCAATGCTAACCTGGCTTCTCCAGAGAGGCAGAGACAGTGTGTTCCAAGGCCTTTGCTGTTGTTTGAGATTGGTCTTGGGAGGGCTCATTCCCAGTGACCTCTGTGGTTTCTGCAGAAGGAGGATTTGGTGTCATCAGCCTGGAGTGGGGTGTAGTACCTGGCTTTGTGGCCGTTGTGGTGTCTGACTTGAAAGTGAAAGCTGGCTCTGTAGGAAGGTGCAACACATGGAGAACACCAATGTTTAGAATAGTCACTTTCTTAGCTCCAGAACCGAGTGAACGTAATACCTGCTGTAATTGAGCCCACCCTGGGCCAGTTCTCCCCCAGCACATGTTCCATGGCTCTTCATGAAAATTCCTTAATGGCCACAGACTTTTGAGAATGCTAGAGAATTTATAGTGATATGTCATGGTACATGTAAGTTAAATATCTCAAAGATTAGAGTAGAGCCAGACTTGTTTACTAGGGGAGATTGATCTCAAGAAAATAAGTGATACAGTATTTGCCAAAGACAACTGGGATGTGGGTTTTAGATTCTTTTACACATGTTTTCACAACACTTCTAAATAAGGGGAAGCCTGATATCAGGCCATCTCAACTACAAAGTGTATTTGAAGAATGTCCAGCTTTGCCCCAGTCTCAGCATCTTTGGCTGTCTGACCACACTGTTGGGGCCACTTCCCCATGCGCTTCTAGCCACAGATGCTGTGAGAAGTTATCATGCCTTGTAGTCCTGTGTCACTTCCTCGAACTTCCCAGGCTGCAGGCACGCCAGGTACTGTGCAGATCAAGTTCCCCCAGGGCCATCCCATCCAAGGGCCCCTTGCCACATCACTCTGCATCAAAGATGACACCCTCACATCTGAGATTTCAACTGTGCAGTTTCATCTGATCAAGTGTTTGGCACATGAAGGCAGGACCAGGAGAGGCCACTTAATTATTCTTATCAATTGGGTTAATCAGATGTGACTCTGATCAAAGGAGCTTTAGAATTACCCCGAACTTAAATATAGCCAGTACCTCAACCTCTTCCTTCTGTCTGTAGCCAACTAACCAGGAGGGAACTTCCTCTGGCCCCTCCCTTCCTCTACCCCCCCCCCTTAGCAGTGGTTCTCAGCTTTGGCTACCGAAGAATCACCCGCAGAGCCTCTAGGATTCTGATTCCCAGATGGCTGTCCAGAGTTCCAAGGTGATCTCGGTGGATAGCCACGTTTAGGAACCAGTGCCCTCGGGAAGGCATGTCAAGCAGGACAGGGTGGCTATGCCTGGAGGGGAGGAGACAAGGGCCAGGAAAAGCCACAAACTGGATAATGGGACACAAAAGGTCAAGAATTAAGTGTAAAGTGAGGGTATCATAGGTTATGGGGCACATTGTCCCATGATATTTTGGCACCCAAGATTTTGAATTTTCTTAACATGACACAGTGCTGAGGAAATTGGGGTAGATGATTGCTTAAGACTCGGTGGAAATCTGGGACACTGGCAGCGCTGTGCAATGCTTCTACACTAGAGCCATCACAGTCAATTTGCTGTTGTTCAGGATTGTTGGGAGGCAATTCTGCAGGGCTCTCTCACATTTCTGAGAGCCATTTATTTCTTTATTAACCCTTACAGAGCTCCTTATAGGACCAGAACTCATGTACTGTTTTCTGTTGTTGATTTAAAATAAATTATTTATAATCGACATACAGTATTAATTTCAGGTGTACAACACAGCAATTCAACATTTACATACTTTAGAAAGTGATGGCCCCAACAAGTCTCTGATCCAGCAGTGTTGTGTCTTCTGCCAGTACCCCTGGAACTGTGGCAGGCTAACACGTGGGACAGGTAAAATCCCAGACCCTCCCCAGTTTTGACGAAGGTAGAAGTCTACAATTAAGTTAGATCTGACGTAGTAAGAGTGGATTTCAAACCTTATTAATCATGCACATATAAAACCTGGATATGAAGCACCTTTGATTTAAAATGGAAAATGAAGCTAAAGTTAAGTTTTTTTCTTGACTTTAAAAGAATGTTTCCTATTACATAAATTCGTAGTGGAACTCCAGCAGTGGTCCATGAATCTGAGGGCTGTGTGGGCACCTGAGTGTTAAAAGAGAATGAAAGTCCTTAAAACATTTCCAACATTCCTACCTTTTCCAGAAGGGGAGGGGCTGTCTGGCTCTGGGGTCACCCCTGTCGGTGCTACTGTGGAGTGTGGCCTCGGGCGAGTTAGGGAGGGGTCTCCTAGAGAGAGGACAACCACATGACATTTATGCTCTTGAGGGTAGAACCTGGGGTAGCTGCAGAACTGGATTTAAATAAAAAATAAGTATATGTATTTAAAACAGATACCTCTGGCTTCCTAGGCTAGATCAGAAGCACAGGAAATAAACTACAGTGTTTCCCAACCTGCAGTTCTCATGCAGATGCAAACACAGGCTGCAAATACAGCAGGCAGCAGTTACATCAGTATGTCTGCATCAATTCCCTCATCTCCAGGCCCCCCAGGGGCAACATGGCTGGACCTAAACAGATACATCCAGCAGGCTTCATCACAGCAGAGGAAGCCTGAGCTCAGGGGATCTAAGTCTTTTATTAATGGCATCACCATGTCTGCCTTTTTCCCAGAAGGAGGTGCTATCTCCAACTTCCAAGGGTATATATTTAAGCATCCTTGATAAGATAGTTCAGGGAAAGGATCTGTCAGTCTTCTGCATCGAGGAGGAGGGTTCCTCATTGCCCTGCCTTCGACAGTAATGCAAAGAGAGGGGGAGGGGCCGCCAGGTGATCTAAACACTATGAATTCAATGAGGAAGTCTGGCTCTTCAAGGAGTCCTTCAACAGAATGAGTTTGCTATGGAACAACCTCCTCTGGTCAGCTCCCCCCACAGAAAGATTGAGAATTTTCACAAATGTTATATGAGAAAGTATCTAGCTCGCTGTCGGACATATACCAAGTGAGCAATAAATGTTAAAACAGAATTCTCTTGGAAGGCTGTGGGTTCATCTTTATTTTTCTAGAGTAAAGGGATTAGTATTTCTAGACATGGCACAATTTGGCTTCCACAGCAAGATTATTCAGCTCCTTCTGGCATGGTTATTCAGTTGTAGATGGTTTAAAAAAATTGATTCTGGCAACTTTCCCTCACATTTGCTCTGGAGCACTGACTGGACACCAGACTTGGGTAACTGAGTAAAGGGAATCTGTGCCCTGTGTCTCCCCAGTCTTCTCAGGTAGATACCAATGGAGAAAAATGGCAATCATTTTCCTCCAGGCTCTCTCCTAGGGAGAAATTGGAAAAGCTCTCTGGGAAGCAAGCATGCTTGAGAACATGCCCTTGTCCGTAGCCAAATTCTTGCTACCATAATCTTAAAGCATTGATGGTAATAATAGTTAATATTTACCAGGTTTCACTTAATTCTCCTACAAGCCACAATGTTGACATCAGATCCATTTTCTAGATGAGAAACCTAGAGTTCTAAGGTGTTAAGGCCCTTGCCCAAGGTCTCACAGACTTAAGTGGCAGAGCCAAGATATGAACCCAGAATTGTGTGAGCCCCCTTTTCCCCACCAAAGCCCATGTATTTCCACCTCCAGGAGGTGTTTAGAGCCCCGTTGCTGTATTTAGCCTCAGGTCTCAACACAAATCCCTTGGCCTCTCCGATGGACTCAATTAGGGACCCATATTGCGGCACTGCTGTCTGTGTGTCCTTGGCAAGGGTGGAGGGGAGGGATAGGGCAGGGATGGCTACTCACTGATGCACTTGAGACTGGGAATTGTCCACTGGGTAATGTTTGTATCTTCATTACGCAGGCACTTAGTCAGGCTGGACGTCCCAGCTTTACGCTTGAAACCAAAGTTACAAGTATACCGCTCCCTGGAGTTCTCATTGTAACTCTTGACTTGGATGTTTGCATGTTCAACATACGTGGGGGTAGAGCATGTGGCACCTGCAAAAGTACAGATACAAGGGGAGAGATGAGCACATTTCAACTTGTTCAGAAGCCTCCCAGAAACCTTGCCTTAAGTGCCAGCCATCCAGCATAGCTAGAGAGAGAGGAGTTATCAGTGAAAACCTCCTTTGCCTCACCCTCCACTTCCCATGTGCCAACCTCTATCTCTCTAAAAGGTATCCATCTCTGTCTTTCTCTTCTGCCTCATCCACACCAAGCCTCTGAGCTCTCTTGCCTAAACAAACACCAGTAGCCTCCAGGCAGCCAGCATCATCTTCAAAAATGTGTATCTCATGGCCTCACTCTTACTTGACTTTCTGCTGCTCTTAGAATAAAAATTAAAATCCTTAAGTCTTTAAGAATCTTCCAGAACTGGCCCTGACTGCCTCACTAGCTACTCTTCCCTGGCCACATGGGCCTTTGGTCCCCCCATGCCACTCATTAGGTCCCCAGTCTTCCTCTTAGCCCACTCTTGGATGGCCATCTGCCGTCCTTCCTCAGGAAAGCCTTCCCTCACCCCCATAGTCAGTCAGGTTGCATAGTTCTGTGTTCTTTCCCCATGTAGTTTTTTCACGGTTGCTTTTAAGATATTGAGGTAATGTAATGAATACATGTCTCACCATCTGCACTGCAAGCCAGAGTGGACAGGGGTCATGTCTGTTCTGTCAACATTGTATTCCCTGATCCTAATGCAGTACCTGGCAGGAGCAGGTGCTCAAGAAATAGTTGTTCAAAGAGTGAATGGATGAACTCTCTTCCTCAACTCCAGGCCTAACTTAAGTCTGACCTAATAAAAGAGGCAAGACGAATTTCCCCAGACAGCTCTACTTTTGTGGAAGCTGGAATTAAATTCTGACTCCAAAACTTCAGCTAAAAATTCTGGCAATGGGGCTCTAGCTCTGTTCTGTGGAAATGAGGAGTTTTACAAGTTAGTGTCTGAGGATATTTGCCTTAGATTGAAATGTTGGCCACTTCCTTTTGAGGATGCTTTATTTATTACTGACTTTTTGTTGCTGTTAATTATTTATGGAAAAATTCCATATTTATGGAAGGAAAAATTCCATTATTTATGGAAGGAAAAATTCCTTCCCCACATAAAAGCATCCAACATAAGTGTTGAAGACATTTAATGAGTTAATGAGTTGTAGGAGTACTTCAGATGTTTTTCTACATTATGAAACAATAAAACTTGCAAAAAAGAAAAAATAACTTTTTTCATTATGCAAAATTGCTATTATTTATTATGCACCTAGTGTAAACTGCTATAAAACTGTGTTAAAAATTCCTCCTTCCTCCTAATTAGAAATTGACCTAATTGACCAAGATTTAGAACCCAAGATTTTCTTGGTTTGAAACTTAATGGCTAAAATCAGTGTCCTGGGGCTTGCTCAGTCATGTCTGTTCATTTCATTTTGTGGCACTGCTCTACAGACAAATGCTCAGTAGATCTTCAGGATAAGCCCAGAGCTGGTCTAATGGCTAGTTAGCACGACACCTAGTATTTGTTCTCATATCTGAGCTTAGGAATGTGCCAGGATCAGGCAATTCTAGCTGAAAGTCTGATGATTTAGCTACTGGGGAGGGCTGTGAATAGCCTAACTCCCAAATGGATGAGGTGAGCTTGGCCATCTATCTGGATTAGACTGTGTGCTAGGCCTGGAGGGGGACAGATTCTGGAGAGTTTGATCATCTTCCACAACTCTGAACGTCATGGTGAGGATTCTGGATTCTGGAATACAAATCTCCATCCATCCTGGGAAATGTCCCTGATCTTTACCTGGGTGTTTAGGTGATGCAGATTTATTTTGGTATCTTTCAAATATGCCAATCTTGTTTGATTTACTCCAATAAATTGGTACCTGCTTTCCAGCAGCCAGAACCTTCTTTTGGTCAGGCAGGATCTGTGTCAGCTTTGACTAAATAACAGTTTTCTCCTTCTATCTCACCTGCTTCCTGTGGATTTGCCTGCCTCTGCCTAGAAACTCTAGCTTTCTACAAGAGGACCCTGACCCTCTGCCCTGGTCTTGCACACCTTTTTCTCCAGAGAGCAGTTCCTAGATTTCCACACTCTTCAGCTGATGGCTAGGTTTGGATGTCAGAGAATGACTGCCAGAATCACCAGGATAACTATTCACCTGACTCCCAGGATCATAGTCTCCTGGACCCCTTATACCATGTCCTACTGGTCAGGTGGGCCTCTGCAGATTTCAGAATCAGAGGGAGCCATCTTAGAAGTCAGAATGCTAAGACAATCTACTGTCAAGTGCCTGACAGGCTCCAGACAGGCAACCCTGTGGGCCAGCTATCAGACCCTCTCTTCCTGCTTCAGAAATTCTTCCTCCTCAGGCTCTGACTCCAAGGTTTCAGCATACCTCATACCTGAGCCCACCTGAGCTATGACAGCCCAGGGAGTCAGTCACCCCAGGCTTTACTTGGTCTTCCTAATCTCAAGAGAGAAAATGGATTACTGATTTTTGTTCTTATTTGTTATATATATAATCTGTGTCATCCTTTGTCACTCCATGCTGCTAGTCTCCATGTTCTCTTTTCACTTATGTGGCTTCTATAGTGAGCTTGAACATTTTCATTTTCTTTTCAGTGAGATCATAGGATAATCATTTTACCTTACTAATTTCTGAAAAAAGTATTTCTTCCTCACTTCTCTGAACAAAGTTATTAGAGAGGAGAAATCTAGCTACTAGTTTACTTCATTTACCATCCTCTCTGTGTTCCATCTGGCCTGTGGGTTGTACCTTACTTGCCTGAATCCCGTCCAAAACATTGTTATTTGCCAGAGAGTCCTCAAGTTCAATTTTCCAACTGATTTTAATTTTAAATAATGTTCTGAATCTTAATTGACTTTTGATCTCTCCTTGGTTGCCTTTTTTCAGTCTTCACTGTCTTCTGTGTTATTTTCAAATCGGAGATTTTTGTCGGCAAACTGTTCTATGTCTTCTAAGTGTTAAAATAGTCTTCTCCATTTAGGACAGTGGTTTTCAGCTCTGAGTGTTTGTAGCTCATTTTGAAATAAACATATGTGGCCTGTCACTTGAGGGGATTTAAAAAGTCAAGGCAATAGCAACCATGTCAGCAAGAGCTTTAAAGCATTGCTGCTATAGTAGAAGGGCATCAGGGCTAACATGTGAATCATGTGGTTATCCCTCAGAGCTCATTCTCATGCGGGTGGGACAGTGCTGTGAATCTAAGAGCCCAGAGTTCTTACAGCTTCCCATAAATATGCAGTCTTTTGAAGGGATGGCTTGACTTACTACTCTTGACCTTAGATTCATAGGAGGTAGTACCCCTCTCAGCTCAACATCCCTTCTGCCAAATGTTATTGCTGCAGTTATATGCACTTATAGCAACAATGAATTTTACACACCAGGTAGGAAAAGATTCACAGGAGACGTGCTATGCACACCGTTGAGAACCACTGCTGTAAAAGGGAAAACAAGCTTTGCCAGATCCTGAGTAAATAGTGATTGTTTGAAGCTTCTGCATATGTTCTTCCCATGCCCACCTCTGCTGTTAAATTTGAGGGCACAGGTCTTAAATCACTGTAATCTCTCCTTTTCTTCTTGAAAAATCTATAGGAACCAGTCATCATCAATGAGTGGAACAAACCCAGCCAAACCCAGTAACAGTGTTGGAGGAAGAAGTTACAACTGTGGAAAGGGGGAGGGGATCAGAAGAATGTACCCTGTTGTTGGGAACTGCCCTGCCTAGTTTCGGAAACTGTAACCGCCCATGGCTAAGGCTGAGTAAGAGAACTTGTGACCACAAGGCACTAAGGATACAAAGCTTATCTTCCTGGTAGGGGTACCACCTCTGCCTGTTTCACTTCACCCTGCTTGGCCCTGGGCAGATGACTGGTTAGCCAAAGAAGGGTAAGATTCCTCAAGGGAGAGATGACAGTCCTGGGACAGGACTCCTAAGACAGTCATGGTCACAAAAGGGCCCTCAGGGAAGGGCTTGGGGGCTATAGAAAAACAGGGTGATGGACCCTCACCCCTGAGCTTTGACATAACCTAGTCCTCATCCTGCCTGCAAGAAGTCTCTTAATCTCTTGGCTGGTACTTCTCCTGCCTGATGTAAGCCTGAAACAATGCTAGATGGTGGTGCAGCCCAGGGCAGGCATGAGCAGTTCCCTGGGGTGATCAGGCCTAAGAAAGCAAACATAAAATCCTGTGAAACCTGCTTTGCTAAGTTTCCTCAAGTTTCTGATAAGGGTCCAAGCATGAAATGAGTTTGTTTCCCAAAGTTTTATGGCCCTTTAGCTATCTGACCCTGACTCAGAATAAGCTCTCAGAGTTCTTTGTATGCTATCTATTGTTTGATCCTTACTGCCTGACAACGACTGATGAACTTTACCTGTATTCCTGTGCAAATTGAACCCAATAAAAGCTCATTGAGGAAAAGACTCCTGGCCCTTCTCCTTTGAGAGATCGGCCACTTTTCCTCCCTAAGCAGATCATGTCTTGGTAGACTTATTCTCATCTGGTCAGAGTCCCCCCACACCCTATGGTGTTGGAATAGAATTGAGGTTGGAGGTATCAGTATATAATTAGTGTGTGTACGTACCCATGTGTGTATGTGTGTCTATGTGTGTGCGTGTGAGTGTGTACATGCAAGTGTGTATGTGTGTGTGTGTGTGCTAGCTCTGTCCTCTGACAGTGCTTAGAAGTGATGACATACTAGCAACAAACATACTTGGTACTCAGGTTTTGGTCTGTGCAAAAAGAAACCATGGATCCTTGGAGAAAAGTCTGGTTCCAGGGTTAGGACAGGAAAGCACAAGGTGAGCTTGGAATATCTTGCACCAGAAAGTAAGGAAGTGCTCAAAGAATGATGGAAACATGCCAAATGGAAATAGGGCCAGGTTGAACCCCATCTTGCTCACCAAATTTGGGCTATTGGAGTACTAAAACAAGATAATAACAGATTATGGAACAAAATAAAATTCCATAAGTTTGTACTAATATAAATTAATAAATTTA